TTTTTGCTTTAATAAAATGTAGAGCTTTTTATTTCTAATTTCCTCTGTATACATACAAGGGGCCTCGGTGGCCGAGAGGTCTAAGTAGTTTTTGACTTTTTCAAATAACCAATCTTTTCTTTTTGTATTCTGTGTAAAATTTCAAAACAATAATGGTAGAATGGGCTGAATGGTAGTTGTGTGAATGAGTTAGCCTAATAGTATCGGGACTATATGTTTTCCATAATATATTGTAGAATATTGTAGATAATAATATGACCAATGAAATTTACTCAAGAAAAACCTTATCACTAATTAACTTGTCAACACTCAATCTAATTAGATTGGTCAACACTGAGGATGCGAGTCCGAACCCCGCAAGTGGCATGTGTGCTCGACTCCAATATTAATTGACAAGGATTGTCAGTTTTCCTACCGGAGGTCGGTGGTTTTCTCCTGACACGCCACGAAATAGCCAATAGTACTGAAAGTGGCGTTAAACCCGTATTCAATCTGATGAGATATCATGCTGGTCAGTAGTACCATTAATAAAGTGTGTTATGTCCATCATCGATCGACTGCAACAGTTGTTTACATATTTTAATAACGAACACTCAACAGTCCACCTTTTCCAATCAATTATGTAGACTTTGAGATAAATGCTTTCTAATATTTTTCTAATATCTTGCACTTTAAAATAAAAAAAAAATCAATGTCTTGACTCTTATTCGTCTTCGTTTCAAACCGGGTATTTTTTTGTCTTCTACTCTATTTCCATTTAATCTTAGCCTATCCTTTTGTAAGATTATACTCCAGTATCTATTATGGCTCTAATGCACTCCTTTTTTATTGACAACGTATCCAGTCCTTGAGAAATCCAAATATTTTGGACGGTTTCTGGAGGTGATTTAGATGTACAATACTTGACAGTCAGCTTGAGGAAGTTGAAAGCTATACTGATATTGGTATACAGAAAAAACTGTGGCAAGACAAATCTTATAACTAAAAGAATAAAGATGGCGCGAAGAACATCCTACGCTTTAATGGGGGTCTTAATGGATACGTCTAATGGTGTAAATACAAAGGTTAGCATACCATAGAATATATATATATATATATGTTAAGCCAAAATTGCTCCTTGGACTATAATCAGTATAGTGCTTTTAATGACCAGACAGAACAGCAGATTCAGCTGTATTCATTCTCTCATTGCAGTTATCAATTGAGGGACAATTGAGTTTACAATACATTATTAAATATTGATCAGACTCGGCAATATCTTGAGAAATTACTGGCTTTTCCCCACTACATTATTCCGATAGATAGACAGTCATTTCTAAGGTTTATGTTCTAATATTTGTATAATTCTATTTTGAAGTAATTTTTAAAATATTTCCCCTGTAACACTACAAATTATTATACGTCTGTATGAATCGGTGTTATTCTGATGTTTCCCCTGTTTTGTAAACACAGTTTATAATACCACTTTTGAAGATTGCTGGAGTACAACCACATTTATATATTTTGTTAAACAAGTTTTCAATTATAACAAGAATTATATTGTCACCATTCTTCTCATATGTTCATCTATTAACGACAGTTCAACAGGGGCTTTAGGGGATGGACGTTTGATTTTCTGGAAAAGCGGGGTTGAAGGGGTAGCAGGAGGGATTTTGAAAATGAATATCCTGGCATGGAACTAGCTGAAAAAATAAATAATCTTGCCCAAGACAGGATGAAAATAAATATGCTGCAACACAAACTGCGGAAAAAATAAGCATGCGTAGCAACTGATGAAAATTAATCAATTCAATAAGGCAATTAATAATCCTCCAAAAAGAAAAAAACGAACATCAAGGGACAAGAGTTTTATTGAAGCCATGTGACCACCAGATTTCTCGCATGGCTTCAATAAAAGATTGACGTAGCTTATTCCCTGATAAAAATGCATCCATGTCTCCCATAAATACCGTGAAAATCACGATTTCCAAATTTATTTCTTATTTGAACCTCATCTTAACAGACATTATGCATTTGATCATTTGTCTTATTACCAGTATTTGGCATATCGTGACGCAGACATACATCATAGAGTTTGCCGTTTAATACGAATACAAGTCAAACCGTTTACTCCCATCTTCTTTTTTTAAAGTAATATATTTGTCCAAGTTTTTTCCATGAAAATCCAACCACCCACTCCCGAATCTCTATTGGGCTGGTTTTTTTTTAAAAAAAGGGTTCGTGTTGATCTTGCTTAAGTTTCAAGTGTAGTTCTTTGTGCCTTTTTTGTTTGCCTGTGGTGTTTATACTGGTAACAAACAGTCTTGTCTATCCTTTGTCGATCTTTGTCATGACAAACTTATTTCAATTTCTAAATTTCACATTCGTACAAGTTTCAAGGTTAGACTGAAAATTTACATGACCGATGGTCTATGAATTTTGTGATGTCTTAGGGTTAGACAGGAACATATATATATTGATATACGGTTCCCAGGGTTAGATAAGTGCCAACTACCAATCTGATATTACTTGATGCCTAATCACTTGATATAACTTAATACATATTCCATAGGAGTAACACGACGGGTGTCACATGTGGTGAAGGATCTGAATACCTTCCACTGAGGAGCACCTGAGATCACCCCTGGTTTTCTTTTATTTTGATTTCAATTTTCATGAAAATACGGTCGGCGGGCCACGTGAGGGTTGCTAACCTAGAGTAAATAAATAAATAAGCTTTATTTAGAGTCGGCACAGTATACAAACAAGGACATAACATAAGCTCTAATGAGCTTTTATATTAACCGACATAAATGAAAATAGAGTGAAATGAATACGTAAAACAAGTTAGAACGGCAGCGAATTGGTTGGTTTTGAAATTTCAACATTCAGGTTGACTAATAATCACTGCAGGAATGTGTTTGTGTATGTATTTGCAGTTCCGACCACACTCTGAAATTTTAGGTCAGCAACCCCCACGTGGTCATGCTAGCAATTGACATCTTTTAAAACACTTCGAGAAACAGTCATTCTTAAACTAACTCTAAGTAGTAATATGTCTGGCATCCCAAACAATTTTCTTATACTTCAGGCTTCTAATGATAAAGCACGGCTGGTAATCTACACACGCAGAACAATTGGTTCTGCAATGAAAACCGTGAGAGGATTTTCCGGTTATGCTTGAGTGGAGTAATTGTCACCGCTTCGAAAGGTATGTACATTTCTAAATCGCAATTTTCGAATTCAACTGATCAAAATATTGCAAATCGGGGAATGCTATGCTGTGGTGAATACTTGAACGAAGAGACACTTGTATCATTTACTGTTGTGCATGGAGTAAAACTCCTACAAAATCAATCGTCCCACGAAGTAATTGCCGAAAAAAGTGACATTTCAATTTTGAGATGGTTCTATTAACAGACCTACAAGTTCAGATTTAGTTTTTTTCTGTCAACGGGATTGAATGTCGTTTTGGGCGGCGTGTACGCTGTCCGAGGTTAATAGACATCATAATAAATCTAAAAACTGCCAATTTTCATTATTTCATGCGTGAGGGGATCGGTTCTGTTTGAGGACATCGTGAATGTGTGAGGGGAAGTGCAAACATTTTAGCTGCACTTTGTGTCTAGTGTGTTTTCATGTACCAGCTTTACATGGAAGTTCAGCTTTGAACGTTGAGTATATTACTTATCACACCGCAGGCAATGGTGGCGTATTCTATCCATCTAAATCATAGATTAAAGTCTAAATACATGCACACGAGAGAAAAAACATAGTCAATCATAAATCTAAACCACTTATATTTACGTTGTAGCCATTTCCATTTCAATTGTCAATTTATATTTAGTATGAACTTCAATAAAACTATGCAAGTTACTAGCCTTTCTTTGAAGTGATTGTTTCATTGTTCGATAAAAAGATATGATTGCACTTCCCCTCACGCATTCACGATGTCCTCACTCAGAACCGATCCTCTCACGCATGAAATAATGAAAATTTGCAGTTTTTAGATTTATTAAGACGTCTATTAACCTCGGACAGCGTACACGCCGCCAAAAACGACATCCAATACGGTATACATAAAAAAAAAACTAAATCTGAACTTGTAGGTCTGTAGAACCATCTCAAAATTTAAATGTCACTTTTATCGGCAATTACTCGTGGGACGATTGTTTTTGTAGGAGTTTTACTCCATGCACAACAGTAAATGATACATGTGTCTCTTCGTTAAAGTATTCACCACAGCATACCATTCTTCGATTTGCAATATTTTGATCAGTTGAATTAGAAAATTACGATTTAGAAATGTACATACCTTTTGAAGCGGTGACAATTACTCCACTCAAGCATAACCGGAAAATCCCCTCACGGTTTTCATTGCAGAACCGATTGTTCTGCGTGTGTAGATTACCAGCCGTGAAAGCTAAAACATGTAAATTGTCTGTCCTACTTCTCCTGCTACACATGTGCAGTCATCTCCTTATCGTGTGAGGTTGATGATGATGTGAGTTTTTAACGACCTTGGCTGGCTATACAGTCCTCGCACGCTCGGTGAGATTGATCGTGAGTCCGCTTCAGCCATCTTTGAATTAACATGGCACAAACTATAGTACAACTATTTACTGAAATAGGCAAATTTTAACAAAGGAATGCAATTGATTTGTAACATTTTTCATCTGAAGGAAGAATAGTATGTGTTTAATTCTATCATTTCTAATGTTTTTGAAAAAAACAGAATAATTTTTGTTTCATTCAATTATTGTACAAATCAACCATATTAGGAGAGATAACTCAGATGAACTGATTTTATAACGTTACAGAAATCTATAGTAAATACTGAAGTCTATTTTGTTTTGAAACAAGAAAAGGGATTCCGTGACCTAACTCGTCTTTTTAATTACATGAAAGCTATCTTAACATTATTTAAAATGTTTTCTTTCAGTCCACACAAAATTGACTGTAATTTTACATTAATTTTGCAGAAGTCAATATCTCGCATGATTGAATTGTAATCTACTTACCGGAAATGGACTTTGTATCACAACAACCCTTGTCACAAGTGGCCACAACTGATATATTTTGAAAAGCACAGACTGTCAGTGCCTTGAGTAATTTCATTTGTACATTCAAAGCATCACTACAAAGAAATATATTGCCAAAGTTCTTACAGGGCATCCAGTGCCACGAAGATAAAAAAGGCCAAAATCCAAAAAAATATTTGTTTTTAGGGTTTCCTTACATGATCTTACATACTTCTTCTTTATTCTTCCCTCCACTATCTGGAGTACCATTACTTTTGTAGCGTAATACGGTTTAGCAACTATTACTGTAAGCAATTGTGTGCATGTTACAGTGAGAAAAATTTGGTGCACAAACCAGTATAATTTCGCCTATAACTCAATTGACAATTGTTCAAGATACTGGTATAAATGATATTGAATCAACTCTACCTGGCATACCCACCACCAAGTTAAAATTGCAACAGCAGATTGTCACATCCAATTATAAGCTAGGGGTTCTATCCCAGCAGGCCTAGGGTGCTCAGTTTAAAACATGAGGCACAAGTAGCATTAAAGTAATAAACTATATAATTCACTATTAATAGTATTATACATGCAGGGATCTATTCCATCACCATACTATATACATTTGGACTGTCCATTTAAGACACAAATTACCCTATTTTTATGTTACCTTCATGCAACTTATATTAGACTTCTCCAAGGCATTTGATAAGGTACCTCACAAAAAATATTAAGGAAGATGGATAATTATGACATAAGGGGAAATACCTGGAATTGGGTATCAGCCTCATTTATGTCTAGAAATGTGTCATTAAATCAACATATCAGAATTTGTGTAACTCTGTAACAGTAAATTTGGTCCGGTAGTAAAATTTGTCCGCCAGACTTTTTTTCCTAGTTAATCAAGTCCATGACCATTATTTTACTAGGAATTTAAGTCCCAGGACAAATTTTCCTAGGAAAATAAGTCCATAGCTAGTAAAATATGTCTGGCACTTATTTTCCTAGGTAAAATTGTCCTAAGACATGTTTTTCTAGTAATTTTTATTATATTTTAAAAATTATTGAAAATAAAAAAAAAAAACATTTTCTTAGTTAAGATTGGAAAGTTTCATTAATTTTTCCTATTAAAATAAAAGGTCATTGCCGGACGTTATAACCTAGGCATGTTAATGACATGGACATGATGTCCTAGGAAAATTAGTCTGGGGACATAAATTTTATCAAAATATTAGTACACAACTCTTAAACAATATTAAAACATAACATTTAAATTTAACTTTCAGAATAAAGGGAATGGACGTTATTACCTAGGAATATTAATGACATGGACATGATTTCCTAGGAAAATTAGTCTGGGGACATGAATTTTATTAAAATATTAATGCACAACTCTTAAACAATATTGAAACATAAAAATTGAATTTCCATTGTTAACATGTAAATAATTTGTTTCATTAAAATTTTCATTTTAAAATAAATGGCATGAACGTTTTTACCTAGGAATATCAATGACATGGACATGATTTCCTAGGAAAATTAGTCTGGGGACAAACATTATATTAAAAAAGTTGATACACAACTCTTAAACAATATTAAAACATAACATTTATATTTACCTTTTAAAATAAAGGACATGGATGTTTTTACCTAGGATTATTACATTGGTAGCATTGAATTACATTGATTTCCCAGTCAAATAAAAACCGATAATTTCACATGTTTATTTCACTCTCTGATGTCATACAACAATAGGCGTTGTCAAGACGTCGATAACATCGGATCAAAACAAATTGTGAATGCGTAGAAAAAAGATATAGTTCGTTACATTTTCTACATCAATTTCATCAAAAAAAGCCATTTGCCAATATAATAAAAAGAATAACTAATCAAAGAATTCAAATATCGAAAATATTCAACTCGTGACCGAACAACACTGATAATTAACTCATGCGCTACGCGCATTCGTGAATTAATGTGTTGTTCGGTCACTTGTTGAATATTTTTCTCTATTTGAATTCTTCGATTAGTTATTCTATCCCAGCAGGTCTAGGGTGCTCAGTTTAAAACATGAGGCACAAGTAGCATTAAAGTAATAAACTATATAATTCACTATTAATAGTATTATACATACAGGGATCTATTCCATCACCATACTATATACATTTGGACTGTCCATTTAAGACACAAATTACCCTATTTTTATGTTACCTTCGTTCAACTTATATTAGACTTCTCCAAGGCATTTGATAAGGTACCTCACAAAAAAATATTAAGGAAGATGGATAATTATGGCATAAGGGGAAATACCTGGAATTGGGTATCAGCCTCATTTATGTCTAGAAATGTGTCATTAAATCAACATATCAGAATTTGTGTAACTCAGCATTTGCTAATTTGTAACTCTTGTTACCTATTGTAACCATTATCATGTAGGGGTTACAAATTCTGATGTGTTGTTTTTAGGACACATTTTTGGACATATCATATATATCTAGAAATGTTTCCTAAAATCAACATATCAGAATTTGTAACTGCTACATGAGAATGGTTACACTGGTGACAACGGTAACATCAAAAACATTCTTGTTCGCAGATGACTGTATACAGAACTATTAAAAATCAGCAAGATTGTACCATCCTACAAAATTACTTAAACTGCCTAGCCAAATGGGAACAAACTTGGGGTATGTAATTCCACCCAGAAAAATGCAACTCCCTCACTGTAACAAGATCACAGTCACCATACAAACATGACTATGTACTTAAAGGCCACATTTTAGAATCCGTCAACACAGCAAAATATCTTGGTATCACCTTATCCAACAACATGTCGTTGGATACCCCTATTAACAACATCACTGCTAATGCAAATAAGATCTTGGGCTTTTTAAAAAGAAACTTAAAAATAAATTAGGAAGAAACAAAAAGTTTGGCTTACAAATCTATGGACGATCAACCTAGAATACTGCTCTTCACTTTGGTCTCCTAACACCCAAAAACAAAAAAATAACATTGAAAAAGTACAAAGAAGGGCAGCACCAACAGGTACCATAACACCAGTAGTGTCACTTCCATGATTGATCATCTTAAATGGAAGTCACTTGAAACTTGCAGAAACATCAATCATTCAATGTACAAAATCACACATAAACTTATAGCAGTAGATTCAAACCTTTACCTTTCACCACAGCCAGTGAAAAACACCAGATTCACCAGTTCACTACAATATCAAACATTCAGCACCAGAACAGATTACTTTAAGTGCATTTTTTTTCCCATTCACAGTTGTACTGTGGAATTCACTTCCACAGCATATGTTGAACCCTTAGCATGTATGTTACATCACATAATTTTAGAGATATAATTTCCTTTTTTATGTCTTATGGCAGAGTGGTCGCCTTGACTCCGTTACAGTATCAAACAAAAAATTGCATCTGCTGGTTCTTCATCCCTTTTTGAGTTCTGTGGCTGCAAAATCAGAAATCACCCTGGACACAGAATTCCAATATCCAGGTAGATTGACATGGCTTCTTGCAGACTTTTTCTTGTTAAGAGCTAGTTTGGTAAAAATCCAGCTAAGCGTATATGTAGTCTAAAACAAAGCAGGCCATTCTCCACTAAAGGGTACAATTTTGTGACATCAACCTAAATATTTCTTACTGGACTTGCACTCTTAATTTCTTTCATTTCTTATTGCTGAAAACCTCTTCTTTCAAATGTAGCAAGAGTGGAGATGGTTTCATATGAAATTATTGTTTTTTTAATGTACTAAATAACTCCCTTCAGATGATTATGATACATCAGTCTGACATATATTAGTATTGATAACTTGGAATTTTGTCTTGCATATTTGCTGTAAGGCTTCAAACTTCTTGACTATGTTTGATCCCCATCATTTCCATATAAACCAGAAAAACAGTGAACTGACAATATCATTGTGCCCACTTGATTTTTTCCCAGCATTCACCTGTATTCTTATGTGCATTATGTCTCCCTACCTACAGAAATATATCAATCTCATTATTTATCACATATTTATCTAAGTCACAATATGGAACTTATCCCAATTAAGATAGTCCCCCCTTTGCACAATGACTTATGTAGATTTTATGCCCATCAAACGCCTTAATGATGTAATGTAATGTCTAAAACCAAAAACCAAAAACTTTTACAGAAAGAGGATGATAAGAATAATGAGTATTTAGCGTGCAAATCCGCATAAACTGTGGAAATAGCCTCATTTTGAGATCTTGTCATTACTATTTAGATATGAACCAAGGCTTTATACAAAAAGATATTTTACTACAAAATGTGTTTCATAAAGATGTTTTAAGTGTAAAATATCTTTTTGTGTAAAGCCTTGCCTCATATCTATTTTGTCCAAAAACTATGAATAAAGTAGCAATGTTTAAGACATCATAGTGAAATTACAAACTTGTCACCTTTCTGCACTAAAGTTTCAAGATGTTATTAATCTGTTCATTTATCCAAAAAAATTAGCATAATTTTGAAAGTCTTGAATAATTTTACAATTTTTGCAATTTTCAAATAATAACTTATCATACTTGGTCTCCTACTTCACCATGTTCTTTTTTGAATGAACCAAGTGGCATACCGGTAAATTAGATTTGAATGAAAAAAATAAACAAGTTCTTATTGTAATGTTTATTTGTAGAATGGATGGTAACATAGACCCAGACCTAATTTATAGTACGACTGAAGAGAAGACATTCAGTAATCAGGATAAATTACCTCCCTTACCTGTACCAGATCTTAGTCATACACTGGACAGATATTTAGATTCTGGTGAGTTATAGCTAAGATCACCTCCCTTACCTGTACCAGATCTTAGTCATAGACTGGAGAGATATTTAGATTCTGGTGAGTTATAGCTAAGATTACCTCACTTACCTGTACCAGATCATAGTGATACACTGGACAGATATTTAGATTCTGGTGAGTTATACCTAAGATTACCTCCCTTACCTGTACCAGATCTTAGTCATACACTTGACAGATATTTAGATTCTGGTGAGTTATAGGTGACATTACCTCCCTTACCTGTACCAAATCTTAGTCATACACTGGACAGATATTCACATTCTGGTGAGTTATACCTAAGATTACTTCACTTACCTGTACCAGATCTTAGTCATACACTGGACAGATATTCAGATTCTGGTGAGTTACAGCTAAGATTACCTCACTTGTACCAGATCTTAGTCATGCACTGGACAGATATATTTAGATTTTGGTGAGTTATAGCTAAGATTACATTCCTTACCTGTACCAGATCTAAGTCATACACTGGACAGATATTTAGATTCTGGTTAGTTATAGCTAAGATTACCTCCCTTACCTGTACCAGATCTTAGTCATACACTGGACAGATATTTAGATTCTGGTGAGTTATACCTAAGATTACCTCCCTTACCTGTACAAGATCTTAGTCATACACTGGACAGATATTAAGATTCTGGTGAGTTATAGCTAAGATTACCTCCCTTACCTGTACCAGATCTTAGTCATACACTGGACAGATATTAAGATTCTGGTGAGTAAACTTACAGCTAAGATTACCTCCATTATTGTACCAGGTCTTAGTCATACACTGGACAGATTAATATTTAGATTTTGGTGAGTTATAGCTAAGATTACCTCCCTTACCTGTACCAGATCTAAGTAAATCATACACTGGACAGATATTTAGATTCTGAGACTAATGTTTGAAATGCTTTAAAACCGGGAAAATCTCACAAATAGTCTCAAGTTAGTTATGTCTCCCTGAAAGTATCAAATCTGAGTAACATACTGAACAGATGTACCAAATCTAAGAACACACAGGACAGATATTAAGTATTAGGTGTGAGGTCGGTTATGTCCACTACCTGTACCAAATCTGAGTAACACAGGTGTTATATCCTGTATCTGAACCAAATTTGAGTAACACACTTGACAGATATTTAGTATCAGGTGGGTTATATCTGCCAATGTGTATCAAATCGGAATAACACTCTGGACAGATATTTTGTACCAAATGGGTTATTTCCCCTTTTTGTACCAAATTTGAGTAATACACTAGACAGCTATTTAGTATAAGGTGGGTTATGTTCCTTATTTGTACAAAATCTGAGTTTAACACTGACCAGATATTTAGTATCAGGTGGGTTATGCCCCGTGCATGTATCAAATCTGAGTAACTCACTGAACATATAATAAGTATAAGAAGGCTTGTACATGTACCAAATCAGAGTAACACAGGTTACATGTAGTTATATCCTGTATCTGAACCAAATATGAGTAACACACCTGGACATATATTTAGTATCAGGTGGATTATTTCCCCTCTTTATACCAAATCTGAGTAACACATTAGACCGCTATGGGCTATGTCCCTTACCTGTACAAAATCAAAGTGACACTGGCCAGATATTTTGTATCAGGTGGGTTATGTACCTTATTTAACAGTGGGTTATGTCCGATTACCTGTACCTAATCTGAGTAGCACAGTGAACAGATATTTAGTATCTGATGAGTTATGCCCCCTGCATGTACCAAATCTGAGTTACACACTAGACAGAAGTTAAGTTTTGCCCCTACCTTTACCAAATCTGTGTAATGCACTGGACAGATACTCAGTGTAAGTTTAACTATATTCTATGATTGTACCTGACCTTTGGTGTGTTAATAGCAAATTAATTTTCTTTTTCAGTAAAACCCCATGTAACACCGGAGCAATATAGACAGACAGAATTTATTGTTCAACAGTTTGCATCTGGTGTTGGCAAAGAATTGCATAAGGAGCTTTTAGAAAAGGCTAAACACTCTAGAAATTGGGTATGTAAATGGCCTACTAGATTAGGATTTCATTAAAAATTTCTGATTTTATAACAGTATATGTAAAAATATCAATATTTAGATCATTAGTATTATGACCCTGTATTTCTGGTTCTTGATTTCCAAGTCATGTTCATCATGTACAATTTATTAAAACTGTTTGTACTTATTGTAACTGATATCATTTGTTAAGAGAAGGTGGACCAGGCAGTGCTTAACAATTTTCCAATGTCTATACATTTCCTGTGGCAGTCAGAATGTGTTCCCCTTTTATGTCTCTTCACAACCCTCTTCCTTTTATGTTCAAATATCTTTGTTCATTTTGTATCACCTATTTCTTATTAAAATAAGGAGATGTGGTATGATTGCCAATGAGACAAATATCCTTGTTCATTTTTTATCACCCAAATCTTATTAAAATAAGGAGATGTGGTACACAGGGGGGTCTCAACATGGGATTTTGGGTACAATTGTGCAGCTGGCATTTAAAAAACACCCACCATTCATATATTGAATAATTGTGAAATCCCTACCTATACATATATTTCACAGCGAAATCATAACCCATTCAGTGAAGATTGTTGCACAACAAACTGAAAAATTATGACCCATTGATATATCTCAATTACTACCTAGCTATTGATATATTTCCTCGGTAAAATTGCACCCCATTGATATATTTGACGTATCAAAAAAGGGACCCATTCAAGCGGCACATATGTATATACCTTCATATAGGAAGAGACCCCCCCCCCCCCCCCCCCCCCCCCCGTTATGTGGTATGAGGCCAATGAGACAACTATCTTTGTTTATTTTGTATCACCTATTTCTTATTAAAATAAGGAGATGTGGTATGATTGCCAATGAGACAAACATCCTTGTTTATATTGTATCACCTATTTCTTATTAAAATAAGGAGATGTGGTATGATTACCGATGAGACAACTATCTTTGTTTATGTTGTATCACCCATATCTTATTAAAATAAGGAGATGTGGTATGATTGCCAATGAGACAAATATCCTTGCCAATGAGACAAATATCCTTGTTCATTTTGTATCACCTATTATTAAAATAATGAGATATGGTATGATTGCTAATGAGACAACTTTCCATGGTAATCTTGTATTACCCGTTTCTTATTCATTTTGAACCAACCCACCCATATTTTGTTCTTTGCCTCAATACAGCGTTTTTGTGTTGCTTGGCCATTTCAACACTATAATCTATATACTAAAGGTTTGAATAGTATCTAGCAAGAAATACACTCCCTTTTAAGTCTTAATTTGACCAGGATAATGTGTGTGAGTTTCCTGCATCCTGACACAATAAAAGAGTTGGTAAAAGAGAGGCAAAATATACCAAAGGGACAAACTGACAATGCCATGGCAAAAATAGAAAAACAAACTGACAATGCCATGGCATAAAAATAAAAACAAATTGACAATGCCATGGCAAAAATAGAAAAACAAGCTGACAATGCCATGGCAAAAAAATAAAAACAAATTGACAATGCCATGGCAAAAAACAAACTGACAAGGCCATGGCAAAAAAAGAAAAACGACCGATAGACAAACAACAGTATACAAAATGAAACTTAGAAAACTAGACTGAGGAACACAAACCAACCAAAAACTGGGGGTGATCTCAGGTGCTCCGGAAGGGTAAGCTGATCCTGCTTCACATGTGGCATCTGTCTTGTTTCTCATGTGAGTACAAACCTATTCGGTAGATCACATTTGAGGAAAAGAGGACGGTATGTGGTTATGACAATCGGAGCATATTCATCTTCATTGGTAAGTCTTAAATTGAATCTGGTTAAACATAAAGCTATTTCTTTAAATATTTTTTGGCAAGGTTATAAAACATTTAGGGTTGTCAGTAAAACATTGAGGGTTAGCTGAAAAACATTTAAGAGTTGACCATGTGTTGACCGTAAAACATTTGATTGGTAGAAATGCAAGAAACAGACAACAATTTTTTTGGCCTGATTTTAATACATAAAATGTTAATTATAATATTCTGTGTCATTCCACATCTAGTTATTTGAAACTAAATTATTAACTTTATTGTTTTGTTTATGTCTGTAATCAGATTGAAATGGCTCATTATTTAATTCTTCAGTTGGAAAAGTGGTGGGATTCAGCAGCATATTTAGAGGGTCGATACCCAGTGGCACCTCATGTTAACTTTGGTGGACCTGGACCATATATTCACCATGTCTACCCACCACAGGCAGGCACACAGATTTACAGAGCTGGGATGATTATGCATTCATCACTAAAATTCTGGCAGTTAGTTAGAAAGTATGTGTAACTCACAATAATAAATTAATTAATCTTTCATTACTGAAATCCTGTCAAGTGGGTATAAAAAACAACATGCACACATAGCATGTAACATGATTTAAAAGCAGAACTTTGAATTTCTATAGCTAAATAATTAATAACTTTTAAAACAGTTTTTAAAAAATATTTTTATGTACTATAATTTTGAGTGTTCTTCTTGAGGTCAGTTTCGAAAAGAAAAGTTTTTTCTTTGTTTGTACCATCTCCAGCTATCTGGACCATGTGTTTTCACAGTTGTTTGTCTTTGTTTGTACCATCTCCAGCTATCTGGACCATGTGTTGATCACAGTTGTTTGTCTTTGTTTGTACCATCACCAGCTATCTGGACCATGTGTTGATCACAGTTGTTTGTCTTTGTTTGTACCATCTCCAGCTATCTGGACCATGTGTTGATCACAGTTGTTTTTTCTTTGTTTGTACCATGTCCAGCTATCTGGACCATGTGTTATCACAGTTGTTTGTCTTTGTTTGTACCATCACCAGCTATCTGGACCATGTGTTGATCACAGTTGTTTGTTCTTTGTTTGTACCATCACCAGCTATCTGGACCATGTGTTTTCACAGTTGTTTGTTGTTTGTTTGTACCATCTCCAGCTATCTGGACCATGTGTTGATCACAGTTGTTTGTCTTAGTTTGTACCATCTCCAGCTATCTGGACCATGTGTTGATCACAGTTGTTTGTCTTTGTTTGTACCATCTCCAGCTATCTGGACCATGTGTTGATCACAGTTGTTTGTCTTAGTTTGTACCATCTCCAGCTATCTGGACCATGTGCTTTCACAGTTGTTTGTCTTAGTTTGTACTATCTCCAGCTATCTGGACCATGTGTTTTCACAGTTGTTTTTTCTTTGTTTGTACCATCTCCAGCTATCTGGACCATGTGTTTTCACAGTTGTTTGTCTTAGTTTGTACCATCTCCAGCTATCTGGACCATGTGTTTTCACAGTTGTTTGTCTTAGTTTGTACTATCTCCAGCTATCTGGACCATGTGTTGATCACAGTTGTTTGTTCTTTGTTTGTACCATCACCATCTATCTGGACCATGTGTTTTCACAGTTGTTAGTCTTTGATTGTACCATCACCAGCTATCTGGACAATGTGTTTTCACAGTTGTTTGTCTTAATTTGTACCATCTCCAGCTATCTGGACCATGTGTTGATCACAGTTGTTTGTTCTTTGTTTGTACCATCACCAGCTATCTGGACCATGTGTTGATCACAGTTGTTTGTTCTTTGTTTGTACCATCACCAGCTATCTGGACCATGTGTTTTCACAGTTGTTTGTTGTTTGTTTGTACCATCATCAGCTATCTGGACCATGTTTTCACAGTTGTTAGTTCTTTGTTTGTACCATCTCCAGCTATCTGGACCATGTGTTTTCACAGTTGTTTGTCTTAGTTTGTACTATCTCCAGCTATCTGGACCATGTGTTTTCACAGTTGTTTGTTCTTTGTTTGTACCATCTCCAGCTATCTGGACCATGTGTTTTTACAGTTGTTTGTTCTTAGTTTGTACCATCTCCAGCTATCTAGACCATGTGTTGATCACAGTTGTTGGTCTTTGTTCGTACCATCACCAGCTATCTGGACCACGTGTTTTCACAGTTGTTTGTCTTAGTTTGTACTATCACCAGCTATCTGGACCATGTGTTTTCACAGTTGTTTGTCTTAGTTTGTACTACCACCAGCTATCTGGACCATGTGTGTTTTCACAGTTGTTTGTTCTTAGTTTGTACCATCTCCAGCTATCTGGACCATGTGTTGATCACAGTTGTTTGTCTTAGTTTGTACCATCTCCAGCTATCTGGACCATGTGTTGATCACAGTTGTTTGTCTTTGTTTGTACCATCTCCAGCTATCTGGACCATGTGTTGATCACAGTTGTTTGTCTTAGTTTGTACCATCTCCAGCTATCTGGACCATGTGCTTTCACAGTTGTTTGTCTTAGTTTGTACTATCTCCAGCTATCTGAACCATGTGTTTTCACAGTTGTTTTTTCTTTGTTTGTACCATCTCCAGCTATCTGGACCATGTGTTTTCACAGTTGTTTGTCTTAGTTTGTACCATCTCCAGCTATCTGGACCATGTGTTTTCACAGTTGTTTGTCTTAGTTTGTACTATCTCCAGCTATCTGGACCATGTGTTGATCACAGTTGTTTGTTCTTTGTTTGTACCATCACCATCTATCTGGACCATGTGTTTTCACAGTTGTTAGTCTTTGATTGTACCATCACCAGCTATCTGGACAATGTGTTTTCACAGTTGTTTGTCTTAATTTGTACCATCTCCAGCTATCTGGACCATGTGTTGATCACAGTTGTTTGTTCTTTGTTTGTACCATCACCAGCTATCTGGACCATGTGTTGATCACAGTTGTTTGTTCTTTGTTTGTACCATCACCAGCTATCTGGACCATGTGTTTTCACAGTTGTTTGTTGTTTGTTTGTACCATCATCAGCTATCTGGACCATGTTTTCACAGTTGTTAGTTCTTTGTTTGTACCATCTCCAGCTATCTGGACCATGTGTTTTCACAGTTGTTTGTCTTAGTTTGTACTATCTCCAGCTATCTGGACCATGTGTTTTCACAGTTGTTTGTTCTTTGTTTGTACCATCTCCAGCTATCTGGACCATGTGTTTTTACAGTTGTTTGTTCTTAGTTTGTACCATCTCCAGCTATCTAGACCATGTGTTGATCACAGTTGTTGGTCTTTGTTCGTACCATCACCAGCTATCTGGACCACGTGTTTTCACAGTTGTTTGTCTTAGTTTGTACTATCACCAGCTATCTGGACCATGTGTTTTCACAGTTGTTTGTCTTAGTTTGTACTACCACCAGCTATCTGGACCATGTGTGTTTTCACAGTTGTTTGTTCTTAGTTTGTACCATCTCCAGCTATCTGGACCATGTGTTGATCACAGTTGTTGGTCTTTGTTCGTACCATCACCAGCTATCTGGACCATGTGTTTTCACAGTTGTTTGTTCTTTGTTTGTACCATCACCAGCTATCTGGACCATGTGTTGATCACAGTTGTTTGTTATTTGTTTGTACCATTACCAGCTAACTGGACCATGTGTTGATCACAGTTGTTGGTCTTTGTTCGTACCATCACCAGCTATCTGGACCATGTGTTTTCACAGTTGTTTGTTCTTTGTTTGTACCATCACCAGCTATCTGGACCATGTGTTGATCACAGTTGTTTGTCTTTGTTTGTACCATCACCAGCTATCTGGACCATGTGTTGATCACAGTTGTTTGTTATTTGTTTGTACCATGTCCAGCTATCTGGACCATGTGTTTTCACAGTTGTTTGTTCTTTGTTTGTACCATCACCAGCTATCTGGACCATGTGTTGATCACAGTTGTTTGTCTTTGTTTGTACCATCACCAGCTATCTGGACCATGTGTTGATCACAGTTGTTTGTTATTTGTTTGTACCATCACCAGCTATCTGGACCATGTGTTGATCACAGTTGTTTGTCTTTGTTTGTACCATCTCCAGCTATCTGGACCATGTGTTGATCACAGTTGTTTGTTATTTGTTTGTACCATGTCCAGCTATCTGGACCATGTGTTTTCACAGTTGTTTGTTCTTTGTTTGTACCATCACCAGCTATCTGGACCATGTGTTGATCACAGTTGTTTGTCTTTGTTTGTACCATCTCCAGCTATCTGGACCATGTGTTGATCACAGTTGTTTGTTATTTGTTTGTACCATGTCCAGCTATCTGGACCATGTGTTTTCACAGTTGTTTGTTATTTGTTTGTACCATCACCAGCTATCTGGACCATGTGTTTTCACAGTTGTTTGTCTTAGTTTGTACCATCACCAGCTATCTGGACCATGTGTTTTCACAGTTGTTTGTCTTAGTTTGTACCATCACCAGCTATCTGGACCATGTCTTTTCACAGTTGTTTGTCTTAGTTTGTACCATCACCAGCTATCTGGACCATGTGTTTTCACAGTTGTTTGTCTTTGTTTGTACCATCACCAGCTATCTGGACCATGTGTTTTCACAGTTGTTTGTCTTTGTTTGTACCATCTCCAGCTATCTGGACCATGTTTTCACAGTTGTTTGTCTTAGTTTGTACCATCACCAGCTATCTGGACCATGTGTTGATCACAGTTGTTTGTCTTAGTTTGTACCATCACCAGCTATCTGGACCATGTGTTTTCACAGTTGTTTGTCTTAGTTTGTACCATCACCAGCTATCTGGACCATGTCTTTTCACAGTTGTTTGTCTTAGTTTGTACCATCACCAGCTATCTGGACCATGTCTTTTCACAGTTGTTTGTCTTAGTTTGTACCATCACCAGCTATCTGGACCATGTGTTTTCACAGTTGTTTGTCTTTGTTTGTACCATCACCAGCTATCTGGACCATGTTTTCACAGTTGTTTGTTCTTTGTTTGTACCATCACCAGCTATCTGGACCATGTGTTTTCACAGTTGTTTGTCTTAGTTTGTACCATCACCAGCTATCTGGACCATGTGTTTTCACAGTTGTTTGTCTTTGTTTGTACCATCACCAGCTATCTGGACCATGTATTGATCACAGTTGTTTGTTATTTGTTTGTACAATTACCAGCTATCTGGACCACGTGTTTTCACAGTTGTTCGTCTTTGTTTGTACCATCTGGACCATATGTTTTCACAGTTGTTTGTCTTTGTTTGTACCATCACCAGCTATCTGGACCATGTGTTTTCACAGTTGTTTGTCTTAGTTTGTACCATCTGGACCATGTTTTCACAGTTTTTTGTCTTTGTTTTTACCATCTCCAGCTATCTGGACCATGTTTTCACAGTTGTTTGTCTTAGTTTGTACCATCACCAGCTATCTGGACCATGTTTTCACAGTTGTTTGTTATTTGTTTGTACCATCTCCAGCTATCTGGACCATGTTTTCACAGTTTTTTGTCTTTGTTTGTACCATCACCAGCTATCTGGACCATGTTTTCACAGTTGTTTGTCTTTGTTTGTACCATCACCAGCTATCTGGACCATGTGTTTTCACAGTTGTTTGTCTTAGTTTGTACCATCTGGACCATATGTTTTCACAGTTGTTTGTCTTTGTTTGTACCATCTCCAGCTATCTGGACCATGTGTTTTCACAGTTGTTTGTCTTTGTTTGTACCATCACCAGCTATCTGGACCATGTGTTGATTACAGTTGTTTGTCTTTGTTTGTACCATCACCAGCTATCTGGACCATGTGTTTTCACAGTTGTTTGTCTTTGTTTGTACCATCACCAGCTATCTGGACCATGTGTTGATTACAGTTGTTTGTCTTTGTTTGTACCATCACCAGCTATCTGGACCATGTGTTTTCACAGTTGTTTGTCTTTGTTTGTACCATCACCAGCTATCTGGACCATGTGTTGATTACAGTTGTTTGTCTTTGTTTGTACCATCACCAGCTATCTGGACCATGTGTTTTCACAGTTGTTTGTCTTTGTTTGTACCATCACCAGCTATCTGGACCATGTGTTTTCACAGTTGTTTGTCTTAATTTGTACCATCTCCAGCTATCTGGACCATGTGTTGATCACAGTTGTTTGTCTTTGTTTGTACCATCACCAGCTATCTGGACCATGTGTTGATCACAGTTGTTTGTCTTAGTTTGTACCATCACCAGCTATCTGGACCATGTTTTCACAGTTTTTTATCTTTGTTTGTACCATTTCCAGCTATCTGGACCATGTTTTCACAGTTGTTTGTCTTTGTTTTTACCATCACCAGCTATCTGGACCATGTGTTGATCACAGTTGTTTGTTCTTTGTTTGTACCATCACCAGCTGTCTGGACCGTGTGTTATCACAGTTGTTTGTCTTTGTTTGTACCATCACCAGCTATCTGGACCATGTGTTTTCACAGTTGTTTGTCTTTGTTTTTACCATTACCAGCTATCTGGACCATGTGTTTTCACAGTTGTTTGTCTTTGTTTGTACCATCTCCAGCTATCTGGACCATGTTTTCACAGTTGTTTGTCTTAGTTTGTACCATCACCAGCTATCTGGACCATGTGTTGATCACAGTTGTTTGTCTTAGTTTGTACCATCACCAGCTATCTGGACCATGTGTTTTCACAGTTGTTTGTCTTAGTTTGTACCATCACCAGCTATCTGGACCATGTGTTTTCACAGTTGTTTGTCTTTGTTTGTACCATCACCAGCTATCTGGACCATGTGTTTTCACAGTTGTTTGTCTTTGTTTGTACTACCACCAGCTATCTGGACCATGTTTTCGCAGTTGTTTGTCTTTGTTTGTACCATCACCAGCTATCTGGACCATGTGTTGATCACAGTTGTTTGTTCTTTGTTTGTACCATCTCCAGCTATCTGGACCATGTGTTTTCACAGTTGTTTGTCTTAGTTTGTACCATCTCCAGCTATCTGGACCATGTGTTTTCACAGTTGTTTGTCTTAGTTTGTACCATCACCAGCTATCTGGACCATGTGTTTTCACAGTTGTTTGTCTTAGTTTGTACCATCTCCAGCTATCTGGACCATGTGTTTTCACAGTTGTTTGTCTTAGTTTGTACCATCACCAGCTATCTGGACCATGTTTTCACAGTTTTTTATCTTTGTTTGTACCATTTCCAGCTATCTGGACCATGTTTTCACAGTTGTTTGTCTTTGTTTTTACCATCACCAGCTATCTGGACCATGTGTTGATCACAGTTGTTTGTTCTTTGTTTGTACCATCACCAGCTATCTGGACCGTGTGTTATCACAGTTGTTTGTCTTTGTTTGTACCATCACCAGCTATCTGGACCATGTGTTTTCACAGTTGTTTGTCTTTGTTTGTACCATCACCAGCTATCTGGACCATGTGTTTTCACAGTTGTTTGTCTTTGTTTGTACCATCTCCAGCTATCTGGACCATGTTTTCACAGTTGTTTGTCTTAGTTTGTACCATCACCAGCTATCTGGACCATGTGTTGATCACAGTTGTTTGTCTTAGTTTGTACCATCACCAGCTATCTGGACCATGTGTTTTCACAGTTGTTTGTCTTTGTTTGTACTACCACCAGCTATCTGGACCATGTTTTCACAGTTGTTTGTCTTTGTTTGTACCATCACCAGCTATCTGGACCATGTGTTGATCACAGTTGTTTGTTCTTTGTTTGTACCATCTCCAGCTATCTGGACCATGTGTTTTCACAGTTGTTTGTCTTAGTTTGTACCATCTCCAGCTATCTGGACCATGTGTTTTCACAGTTGTTTGTCTTAGTTTGTACCATCACCAGCTATCTGGACCATGTGTTTTCACAGTTGTTTGTCTTAGTTTGTACCATCTCCAGCTATCTGGACCATGTGTTTTCACAGTTGTTTGTCTTAGTTTGTACCATCACCAGCTATCTGGACCATGTGTTGATCACAGTTGTTTGTCTTAGTTTGTACCATCTCCAGCTATCTGGACCATGTGTTGATCACAGTTGTTTGTCTTAGTTTGTACCATCACCAGCTATCTGGACCATGTGTTTTCACAGTTGTTTGTCTTAGTTTGTACCATCACCAGCTATCTGGACCATGTGTTGATCACAGTTGTTTGTCTTAGTTTGTACCATCACCAGCTATCTGGACCATGTGTTTTCACAGTTGTTTGTCTTAGTTTGTACCATCACCAGCTATCTGGACCATGTGTTTTCACAGTTGTTTGTCTTAGTTTGTACCATCACCAGCTATCTGGACCATGTGTTTTCACAGTTGTTTGTCTTAGTTTGTACCATCACCAGCTATCTGGACCATGTGTTTTCACAGTTGTTTGTCTTAGTTTGTACCATCACCAGCTATCTGGACCATGTGTTTTCACAGTTGTTTGTCTTTGTTTATACCTTCACCAGCTATCTGGACCATGTGTTTTCACAGTTGTTTGTCTTTTTTTGTACCATCACCAGCTATCTGGACCGTGTGTTTTCACAGTTGTTTGTTATTGTTTGTACCATCTCCAGCTATCTGGACCATGTGTTTTCACAGTTGTTTGTCTTTGTTTGTACCATCACCAGCTATCTGGACCATGTTTTCACAGTTGTTTGTTCTTTGTTTGTACCATTACCAGCTATCTGGACCATGTGTTTTCACAGTTGTTTGTCTTTGTTTGTACCATCACCAGCTATCTGGACCATGTGTTTTCACAGTTGTTTGTTCTTTGTTTGTACCATCTCCAGCTATCTGGACCATGTGTTTTCACAGTTGTTTGTTCTTTGTTTGTACCATCACCAGCTATCTGGACCATGTGTTGATCACAGTTGTTAGTCTTTGTTTGTACCATCTCCAGCTATCTGGACCATGTGGTTTCACAGTTGTTTGTAAGTTTGTTTTTTTTCTGAGAGGTTGGGTGTTGGAGGTTGATGTAGTCTGTTTTTTCTGAGGAGTTGGGTGCTGGTGGTTGATGTAGTCTGTTTTTTCTGAGGAGTTGGGTGTTGGTGGTTGATGTAGTCTGTTTTTTCTGAGGAGTTGGGTGCTGGTGGTTGATGTAGTCTGTTTTTTCTGAGGAGTTGGGTGTTGGTGGTTGATGTAGTCTGTTTTTTCTGAGAGGTTTGGTGTTGGAGGTTGATGTAGTCTGTTTTTTCTGAGGAGTTGGGTGTTGGTGGTTGATTTTGTCTGTTTTTTCTGAGGAGTTGGGTGTTGGTGGTTGATGTAGTCTGTTTTTTCTGAGGAGTTGGGTGTTGGAGGTTGATGTAGTCTGTTTATTCTGAGGAGTTGGGTGTTGGTGGTTGATGTAGTCTGTTTTTCTGAGGAGTTGGGTGTTGGTGGTTGATTTTGTCTGTTTTTTCTGAGGAGTTGGGTGCTGGTGGTTGATGAAGTCTGTTTTTTCTGAGGAGTTGGGTGCTGATGGTTGATGTAGTCTGTATTTTCTGAGGAGTTAGGTGCTGGTGGTTGATGTAGTCTGTTTTTCTTAGGAGTTGGGTACTGGTGGTTGATGTAGTCTGTTTTTTCTGAGGAGTTGGGTGCTGGTGGTTGATGTAGTCTGTATTTTTTACGATTCCTGTTATCACTCTTTATGTATTATTCTTTTTTTTTTAGAGAAAAATTAAGAATAGATACAGACAGTAGAGGAAACAAGATGTGTATGAACCAATTCCTCAGAGCATATAGTGCTTGTAGAATACCAGGGGTTCATGTTGATCATTTGTCCTTCAACTTTAAAACAGGTATGTCAGGGGAGAAAATTTGAGCTAATTATACCCCCGCTTTAAAAAAGTTGGGGTATACTGTTTTACCTCTGTCTGTCCGTCCATCCCTCAGTCCATCCATCTATCAGTCTGTCTGTCTGTCCCATGAATATTTTCGTCGCATCTTTCTCAGGAACTACATTACAAAGATTTCTGAAATTTGGTTTCAGGGTTTATATAAGTTAGCTATACTGTGTGATGCGTTTTCAGATTCATCACTCAACAACTTCCTGTTTACCGAACACTTTTATCATTTTACACATGATAGCCAAGTTTAAAATTTTCTTCACATTTTTCTCAGGAACTACAATACAAGGATTTCTGAAATTTGGTTTCAGGGTTTATATAAGTCAGCTATACCGTGTGATGCGTTTTCAGATTCATCACTCAACAACTTCCTGTTTACCGAAATATTTGGGCGGGGGCATCATCAGTGAACAGTAGCTCGCAGTTTCACTTGTTCAGATGTGCTTTAACAGTATGAAGATGTCAGCTAAATTGACTTTTCAACTTTTAATTAGGCCTGCCAGGAAAAGTAACTCTATATGAAACAGATGAGCAGAACCTTATATAAATCATGCTGTTGCTTTTCTCTTTTGAATTATTTCAAATTGTGTAATGTTGTTGCCTTTTATAGCTGACTAAACAGTCTGGGTTTTGCTCATTGTTGAAGCTGTACAGTGACTTATAGCTGCTTACAGCCATGTCAACATGCATCATACTAATAAAAGAATATGTAGAGTGTAAACCAATGAGACACCTACCCAAGGGTACAAGATTAAAAAAAAATATTGTCAATGAGACACCTACCCAAGGGTACAAGATTGAAAAAAAACATTGTCAATGAGACACCTACCCAAGGGTACAAGATTAAAAAAAGACATTGTCAATGAGACACCTACCCAAGGGTACAAGATTAAAAAAAAACATTGTCAATGAGACACCTACCCAAGGGTACAAGATTAAAAAAAAACATTGTCAATGAGACACCTACCAAAGGGTACAAGATTAAAAAAAACATTGTCAATGAGACACCTACCTAAGGGTACAAGATTAAAAAAAATCTTTGTCAATGAGACACCTACCCAAGGGTACAAGATTAAAAAAACCATTGTCAATGAGACACCTACCCAAGGGTACAAGATTAAAAAAACATTGTCAATGAGACACCTACCCAAGGGTACAAGATTAAAAAAAACATTGTCAATGAGACACCTACACAAGGGTACAAGATTAAACAAAATTGTCAATGAGACACCTATCCAAGGGTACAAGATTAAAAAAAAACATTGTCAATGAGACACCTACCCAAGGGTACAAGATTAAAAAAAAATATTGTCAATGAGACACCTACCCAAGGGTACAAGATTAAAAAAAAACATTGTCAATGAGACACCTACACAAGGGTACAAGATTAAAAAAAAACATTGTCAATGAGACACCTACTCAAGGGAACAAGATTAAAAAAAAAATGTCAATGAGACACCTATCCAAAGGTACAAGATTTAAAAAAAAACATTGTCAATGAGACACCTACCCAAGGGTACAAGATTAAAAAAAAATATTGTCAATGAGACACCTACCCAAGGGTACAAGATTAGAAAAACATTGTCAATGAGACACCTACCCAAGGGTACAAGATTAAAAAAAAACATTGTCAATGAGACACCTACTTAAAGGTACAAGATTAAAAAAAATTGTCAATGAGACACCTACCCAAGGGTACAAGATTAAAAAAAAATATTGTCAATGAGACACCTACCCAAGGGTACAAGATTAAAAAAAAACATTGTCAATGAGACACCTACCCAAGGGTATATGATTGGAAAAAAAACATTGTCAATGAGACACCTACCCAAGGGCACAAGATTAAAAAAAACATTGTCAATGAGACACCTACCCAAGGGTACAAGATTAAAAAAAACATTGTCAATGAGACACCTACCCAAGGGTATATGATTGGAAAAAAAAACATTGTCAATGAGACACCTACCCAAGGGTATATGATTGGAGAAAAAACATTGTCAATGAGACACCTACCCAAGGGTATATGATTGGAAAAAAAACATTGTCAATGAGACACCTACCCAAGGGTACAAGATTGAAAAAAAACATTGTCAATGAGACACCTACCCAAGGGTACAAGATTAAAAAAAGACATTGTCAACGAGACACCTACCCAAGGGTACAAGATTAAAAAAAACCATTGTCAATGAGACAGCTACCCAAGGGTACAAGATTAAAAAAAAACATTGTCAATGAGACACCTACTCAAGGGTACAAGATTAAAAAAAACATTGTCAATGAGACACCTACCCAAGGGTATATGATTGGAAAAAAAACATTGTCAATGAGACACCTACCCAAGGGTATATGATTGGAAAAAAAACATTGTCAATGAGACACCTACCCAAGGGTATATGATTGGAAAAAAAACATTGCCAATGAGACACCTACCCAAGGGTACAAGATTGAAAAAAAAACATTGTCAATGAGACACCTACCCAAGGGTACAAGATTAAAAAAAAACATTGTGGGGTCAACCTATTAAAGGGTTTATATTGGACTTCTTAGGTTGGTATTCATAATGACTATAGTTTTGTTTAAGATTCTAAGACTGACCTAAGTTATAATAGTTGATGTGTATTGATTCCTTCCTTCCTCACACTCTCATGATTGGACTTGTTCTTAACAGAGAAACTTTTAACAGGAGTTACTCTACCTTCACTGCACTTTCATAACAAGACAATTGATTGGTTGTCCATTTACTTCCCTCGCCCTGAACATGCAATCAATTAATCATTTACCCCCCAGTACTATCACAAAATGTGAACAACAGTTGATATTATTGGAGTTTTTGCTAGAAGATAACCCAGGATTAACTTTAGGACTTATAAGACTACCAAATGAGTCTGTATGATTTTCAATACATGGTTCATTTTGTTTTTCTTTGGCATTGACAATAATAGCTCTCCTAGATATATGAGTAAGTATTTAGTTATACTCAGGTATTGGTAACCTTTGTGCTGGTAACAGTGTTCAGTAAATGCAGGGAAATGTATTTAAACTCAAATGTTGATGGTTATTGTGCTGTTTATAAACTTCATTAAAAATAAATTTGAGTAAATTCAGCTTCTTGTAGCCTTAAACTTTGAACTATATTATGATAATTGTCAAAAAGGACCAGTAATAATTAGATATCTACTATAATTTTAGAATTACAAGGAGATACACCCAGACATGCTGTTGTGATGTACAAGGAGAGGATATTTACATTTGATTGTGTTGATGAAGAGTCTGACATTTTAACTCCACCTGAAATCAGCCAACAGTTACAAAAAATCAAGGATTTCTGCAAGGCACATCCACAGGGTCAAGGTGTAGGGGCACTAACAGCACTTGAAAGAACTCCTTGGGCAGAGGTAAGGAGAAAATGACTATCAGCACAGATGAGCCATTTCAGTTTGGTGTGAGGTTACTCTCTTAATTGGAAAAAAACTACCTCAGGCAAATGTTAGCCATTTCAGTGTGGTGTTGGAACACTCCATTGACAGGAAAGACTACCTCAGATAATTCAAGGGAAGTAAATTATTAGTTCTTTCCAATATAAAAGCAGTAAGTTGTAAGAATGTCTTTCAATTTGTTGATTGAAATTTACAAAAAAAAGTTTGAGAAAGATATCCTTTATTCAAGCAATCATTTAGTAGTCTAAGTCATTTCTTTATTTTTTTTCTATTTAGATGTTTAATTTGGAACCCTATATTTCTATCTATTTAGTGTTTTATTATTTTTACAAACTGAGTTAAACAGATGAACATTATTATAGTTAATATGAGGCAGGTGTTACCTGTGAAAGGGGACGAAGGATACATTACGATATCCCATTTACAGCAGATTTATATATATAAACATCTATTGTAAAAAAGATCCCAGCAGTTCTGGTGAAAAAGTAACTGAATTACGGATACGTATCTGATGTTGGTCCTATTGCTAGGAATTCTATATATGAAGTCATTTTCAATGTAAACAAAGAAACCCTATTTTCAGGTAGCTTTTTTTTATCTCTCGTGTTAAAGTATTCTTTAATCAAAAACATAATAATTTATACCTAAAAACAAGGAATATACAAAGTCCACTTATTACTGATCTTTGTACAGATACAAAAATCTGCCTGAATATAAATCTGAGGTGAGTTTCCCCAGAGAACTCATTTTGTTTGCAATAAAATCGTATTGTATGTTGAATAAGCTGTAGACTCATATTATTACATACACAAACAGAATAAATTCAAAATGTTTGTCCTCATTTTTCTTTTTGGTAATCAGTTATACAAATTTGTGGGAAATAGTATGACTTACAACATGGCAGCGGCTTCAATAGAACAGAAAAACGGTATTGTGCAAGCTCAACTGTTAGGAAAAAAAGTTGACAATTTTGAGTTGATTAGTATATTGATTTTTATATTGATTTTTATTTTTTTTAATTTTTCTTACTGTTATTGGGGACTTTGTCCCCATATTATTTCTTAAATTACTGCATTTTTAAGTAATAAGGGTCAAGTGAGCTATTCTCCTCATTTGGTGTCAGCTGTCATCATTGTCTGTCCTTCTCATTGTCAGTTGTTGTTATCTAACAGAAAAACAAAGGATATGAGGTATCCATCCATGACACAAAATCAGTACATGCATAGCAAAAAAAAAAAACAAAAAGCAAAGGAATGGCTATTTTATTGCTGTTTCTTCATCTCAAAGTCACAGTGAGGCCTTCAACATGGAGCCAAAAAAAAACAACTTTCACCTCACTGCAAGTTTAAGACGGCCCCTAGCACCGGTTTGAGTAGAATTCTTTGCAAAATGATACAGATAGAGTTTGAAAGATGTAACACCATCAAATTGGGCCCTGTCAAAAAAGAACATACTGGAAAGTAGTGCATATTTAAAACAAAATAGTACCTACTCATAGGTGTAATTATCAAACTATGTAGAATATATTTTAGTAATTAAGGTATCAAATTGGAACTAAACTTGGCCACAATCATCCTTTGGGTATTATCTACTTTAAAAAGTGTGTCATGATGATTCTTCCTTCCAAACAACATGGCCGACATGGCTATAAATAGAACATAGGGGTATATTGAGATCTACCAACCAAAACTGTCAACACCTTATAGCAGTTATTGCCCTAAAAGGACAAATTTTATCCTATCTTTATTTTTGCCTATTATCTTAAAAACTATAATAGATGATCAGCAAGACAAGATCTACAAGTAAGTCAACATGTCCAAAATTTTGGGTTATCTCCTTATAGTTGTAGCCCCTAAATGCTGATTTATCAACTTTTTTCGTTTTCGCTTATTATCAATAGATAAAGAGAAAGTTTAAAATGCACTACTTTGTCAACGTGACAGAAATTTTTGGTTGACATCTTATAGGAGATATATCCCCCTAAATGACAGTTTTCACCAACTTTTACATTTTTCGGCCAAAAATATAGATAAAGAAAAAATTATCAACAGGCCAAGATATACAAATTTGTCAAGATGGCAGAAATTGTTGGTTAACTCTTTATTTTTTTCCACTTTTTGCAAATTTGACCAAAAATATAATACATTAAATACAGAAAATTATAAACAGCATAAATTATCAGCAAGACAAGATATACACACAATATAGCAACATGGCTTAAATTTCAGTCAACTCCTTAAAGGCTTTATTGCCCTTTAATAATGACTTTTTACCCAACTTTTGGAAATTATACAAAAACTATAATTAGTAGAGAGAACCTGTTAACAAAACCAAAAACGATCAGCTAAACAAGATTAACAAAAAAAAGGTAATGCTATTCATGAATTATGCTCAAGTCTGTAATGTTGGAGAGTGACCATTGTTGAAAATGCACATAGATCCAGGTGAGGGAAAAAGGCTCTGAAGGGCATTTAGTTTAAGTTTTGTTTTATATTTTACAGATGAGAAGCAGATTGCTGGCTTTACATCCAGAAAATTTTCATTATCTAAGGACAATTGAGACTGCTATATGTGTTGTGAGTTTGGATGATGCCAACCCTACTAACGAGATTGAAGTAAGTTTCTTTTCTCTCTCTTTCCTTCCACTGAACTCATTATCTAAGGACAATTGAGACTAATATATGTGTTGTGAGTTTGGATGATGCAAACCCTACTAATGAGGTTGAAGTAAGTTTCTTTCCTCTCTCTCTCCTTCCACTGAACTCATTATCTAAGGACAATCGAGACTGCTATATGTGTTGTGAGTTTGGATGATGCCAACCCTACTAATGAGATTGAAGTAAGTTTCTTTTCTCTCTCTCTCTCTCCTCCCACTGAACTCATTATCTAAGGACAATTGAGACTGCTTTATGTGTTGTGAGTTTGGATGATGCCAACCCTCCTAATGGGATTGAAGTAAGTCTCTTTCCTCTCTCTCTCTCCTTCCACTGAACTCATTACTTAAGGACAATTGAGACTGCTATATGTGTTGTGAGTTTGGATGATGCCAACCCTACAAACGAGATTGAAGTAAGTCTCTTTCCTCTCTCTCTCTCCTTCCACTGAACTCATTATCTAAGGACAATTGAGACGGCTATATGTGTTGTGAGTTTGGATGATGCCAACCCTACTAACGAGACTGAAGTAAGTCTCTTTTCTCTCTCTTTCCTTCCACTGAACTCATTATCGAAGGACAATTGAGACTACTATATGTGTTGTGAGTTTACCAACCCTTCTAAAGAGATTGAAGTAAGTTTCCTCCATGTCTCTCTGTTTATCAATTGGTCTGTAGAAAAACCTGTCCAAGTGAAAATTGCATTCACAAATTAAGCCTCTCGTAAGCTCCTCTGACAAAGTTTACTATTGCCCTCACGTATTGTATGCACAGTTATTATATCATAACTGTTAGTCACTCAATAGCTTTTGTGAATTTCTAATGCTGGTTTACCACTGTCAGTCCCTCGATCTCTTCCATAGAGATGGTCTAAGTAGTTCATCTACTGTATCACTAACCTGTCAACAATGAGATGGTGCCGTACATTCCACAACAATCCCAATATGATTGTCAGTTTTCTTGCCAGAGGTCAGTGGTTTTCCCCCAGTTTCTCCCTCTAATAAAAACTGACCTGCACTATATAGCCATGAGTGCTGAGTGTGGCATTAAACACCAACAATCAATCATCAGTCCCAGCATCAGTCCCAGCATCAGTCTGTCAGTAAAACAGTTCTGTTGCATTATTCTCAGCTAATCTTTATTGTCCCCATTATTTTTATGAAACTTATATCATAGGTTTATATCAGCAATGTCTTGGACGAGTTCGAAAATCAGTGCTGATCAATTATTTTTAAAAGAGTTATGCCCCTTGGAAACATTATTTTTATGGAAAATGGCCTCGTTAGCGCTCTCATGTGTACAATTCTTGCCAGATTTTTATGAAACTTTTATCATAGGTTTATATTAGCAATGTCTTGGACGAGTTCGAAAAAGAGTGCCAATCAATTATTTTTAAAAGAGTTATGGAAATATTAATTATATGGAAAATTGCCTTATGAGCGCTCTGATGTGTACAATTCTTGCCAGATTTTTATGAAATTTATATGATAGGTTTATATCATCTATGTACTTGAAGAGTTCAAAAATCAGTGCCGATCAGTTATTTGTAAAAGAGTTATGCCCTTTATAAATATTGATTATATGGAAAATTGCAATGTTATCACTCTCATGTGTTCAATTCTTGCCAGAATTTTATGAAACTTATATCATAGGTTTATATCAGCAATGTCTTTGACACTTTTGAAAATAAGTTCTGATCAAACATTTTTAACGAGTTATGCCCCTTTGGAAATGTAAATTATAATTGAAATCCCATTGCATTTGCTCTGATGCCTTCATTTCTCTAATAATATTTTAATAAAAAATTTAAAGAACAAAAAAAAAGTGCTTTTTTTAGTGATTGCCCTTGTACCTTGGATAGTTAAATATGTGCAACACGGTGGACATTGGAACTCTGTTCTTTTATATTTATAGTCAAACCTTGATATGTCGAAGTCTAAGACCAGACAAAACTATTTGACTCATCAGAAGTTGGAGTCATCAGAGGATGTGTGCTTCAGCATGTTTTCCTTATTTCAATTTTTTTACGTATATTGTCAACGTGATATGTTAAAAGGCGGAAGACGTTTTTCATATTCCAATCTATCTGTATTGATAGTCCATGTAGTATTTATTTCATTAAAATGAGACAGAATTAACTGTACACGGCGGATGTTTACAAAGATAAGGAAAAGGAAAATATGGAAGTACTTCCAGACTCAAAAACAAATCGTTGCAGATATTTGTATTAGACTCTATCCTTTGCTTTGCGATTATCAGTCAAGGGTTAAGTCATATTCTTTTTACATAACTTTTATAAATTTACTTATAACTTTAATAATTCTTTCATATTGAATATATTTTCTCAGCTAGGGTTTATTTAATTATTCCGTAATTATCTCAAGTAAGTTGTGTTCCACAAACACATTTTCTGCATGGTCAAACATCATCACTTTTTTTAAATTCTAAAAGTTCATTTTCCTACAAAATTTGATTTCTTGTACATGGAACTTCAGAGTTTTATTTATGTACATTTTTCTTTTCAGAGGGACTTTGAAACATACTCAAGTTAACCAATATATTTAGATCCATCACTTATTGACTTGATGTTTGTTGCATACTATGTTCTTTACATTAATATAAGTATAAAAAGTTAAACAGCGTAACCCATGCTCAGATCTGTCACTTATCTACATCCTTATTACCAGATATATATATAAGAAATTTTTCTTTTCATTTTCCTCTGCTACTTCACATAAAAGCTTCTTATTATTTGATGCCATGTATAATATTTGTAACTGTGTGCTCCTCTACCTTCTGTTCTCTGCTTTCACATTGTTTGGGTACATGTATTTCCTTAACCTATAAAAACAACAGTGTGTAGCTCATATACAACTTTATTGTTATTATTGAATATGTAGAATATGTATTATTTCAGTTGTTTCAAGAATCATTGGGTGGAACACCAACAGACAAATGGTTCGACAAATCACTCAACCTGATCTTTTTTGAAAATGGGACAGCAGGTTCCAACTGTGATGTAAGTATCTAACATGTATCCTACAGGTATCCTGTATGTACCGGGGTATCCTAGGTATCCACAGTTATCCAAGATATCCTACATGTATCCTTGGTATCCACAGGTATCCTAGATATCCAAGATATCCTATATGTATCCGAGGTATCCAAGATACCCTTGCAAGGATGGCAAAAAAGCGGTCAATACTAGTATTGACCATGCCGGCGGTAAATACCGGGAAATACTGGCAAATACTGGTCAATACTGGTCAATTGAAATTTTGATAGGACTTTACTATAAAACTAGTCCCTACCTCAGGTCAATTACTTGGTAAATGGATAGATATAGTCACAAGGCAGAAAGTCACTTATTTACTACATTGTAATAGGACAAAAAGTCACAATTAATTAGTTCATGAACATGGATTAATGAAGATTTATCAAATATTGATTTAATCATACAACAGATATAGTCATTAACACCATGAAGTCAGTCACTTAAGAGAGACTATATAACATCTGGTTTTCTTAACAGTTATTTTGAAAGATGCAATTAAAAAATTTAAAAAAATTGTTTTATATATATATGTTGTGTACAAATTGTAATGTTGTACAAATTATAATTTGTACAGAATTTTTGTACAAGTTATCTGTGTTTTATGAACCGCTTAACACAAATGGATAATACAAGCACACAGTCTTTTGTTTCACATATTTCTGTCATATTTCCATGACTACATGATGCAGTCTAATACTGAGCATTGATACAAAAAACATTATAACAACACAAAATGACTTTTTATGGATATGATTTTGGTATAAGGAGAAAAATAAAAATAGAATTTAAACCATTCAGGTGTCATTATTTCCAGTTTTAGGACAAGGAGAATAGCACTAAATGTTAAGTTGAAGTATATAAATTTGAATTTAAGACATTAAGCTGATAAATTTTAGAAGATAAACTTTTATCACCTGGTGCAGAAAGGTATGTGTCAAAAAACTTATAACTTGTACAAAAACCCTGTACAAATTATAATTTGTACAAACTTGCATCTTGTACACAACATATATATGTTATATATTTATTAAAAAAAAAACATTTCCTGCATTTAGAACAATTTTATCATGCTGTTGAATACCCTTGGATATATTAATTATATGGAAAATAACATTGTTAGCACTCTCATGTGTACAATTCTTGCCAGATTTTTTCAAAACTTATATCATAGGTTTATATTAGCAATGTCTCAGACAAGTTTGAAATTTAGTACAGATCAATTTTTTTTAAAGAGTTATGCCCCTTGGAAATATTAATTATATGGGAAATTGATTTGTAAGCACTCTCATTTGTACAATATTTTCAAGATTTTTATCAAATTTACATCAAAGGTTTATATCAGCAATGTCGGGGAAAATTCTGAAAATCTGTGCGGATCAAATATTTTTAAAAGAGTTATGCCCCCTGGAAGTATTAATCATATTAGAAATTGCATTGCATTTGCTCTCAAGCCTTCATTTCTCTAAGATGTTATCATAAAAAAGTTTTAAAGAACAAAAAAATGTTTTTTTTTAGTTATTGCCCTAGGACAGATAAAATATGTGCAATGTGGGGTACATTGGAACTCTGTTCTTTTATTTGTTTTTGTTTATTGCTCACAATTGCTGGCTGTATGGTTTATTTATTTCTATTTATAGCACAAATGGTATAGTTGTATTGTGAGACATAGATATTACTATCCGGTGGTGGCAGTGGTGTCAACTATTTGTATAAAGCTTTATATTTCAGAAGGTAGAAGACCTGTATGCTTCATATCTTGTATGCAGATACCTTATGTTACGAAGTTTCCGTCAATCATATGTCCATTGTCCTTGACCTCATTTTCATGGTTCAGCAACTGCTTGAAAAAAAATTTGAGTTTTTTGTCATGTGAATTTCTCACTTATTATGAGTAATAGGATAACTCAATTTGGTATATGGGTTCCTTGTAACATCTACATGTCCATCAGACAGAGTTCACCTGACCTGGACCTCATTTGATGGATCAGTGATCAAGGTTAAAGTTACGTGATAAGGTCCATTTCTCAAATACTATAAGCAGCGGGTCAACTATATTTGGTGTATGGAATGATTGTAATGGGTACATGTCAGTCTAGCAGGTTTCATCCGACCTTGACCTCATTTTTATGATTCATTGGTCAATGTTAAGTTTTTATACGACCGCAAAAAAATTTTGTGGTCGTATATTGGTATGACGTTGGCGTCGTCGTCGTCGTCGTCGTCGTCGTCGTCGTCCGAATACATATTGGTTTTCGCACTATAACTTTAGTTTAAGTGAATGGATCTTTTTGAAATTTGACCATAAGGTTAAATACCACAAAAGGAAGGTTGGGATTGATTTTGGGGGTTATGGTACCAACAGTTAAGGAATTAGGGGCCAAAAAGGGGCCAAAAATGAGCATTTTCTAGTTTCCAGACAATAACTGTGAAACGGTGTATGGATCTCTCTGAAATTATACTACAAGTTTCCATACCACAAAGGGATGGTTAGGATTTGCTTTGGGGGGTTATGGCTCAAACCGTTTAGGAATTAGGGGCAAAAAAGGGGGAAAAACAAGGTTGTCCTGGTTAATGGACAAATACTTTAGTACAAAACATAATTTAAAGCAGTGTAAGGGAGATAAATCAAATACATCATTGAAATTATCTCCCTTACACTGCTTTTAAATTGTATAAAGTAATGGTTAATGAACAATAAAGATAATCTAAAACAGTGTAAGGGAGGTAATCCAAATACAACGTTTTGGTTACTTCCCTTACACTGCTTTTAAATTATGTTTAAAGAAATGCATATTTATAAAGGAAGACCAGTAAAAATATCTGCAAATGTTTTCATCTTTTTTTTTTACAAAAAAATCCATATGAAAGATTTGACACTATATTTTTATTAATTCTATTATAAAATAGATTAAGTTAGCACTATGGTAAATTTAAATGGGTAATTATGGTTGCCAACTCCATTGGAAATTTGAATTGAGATTATGACCATATCTTGAGGGAAAGAATTTTTTGGGGGAAAAAAGGGGGGGGGATAAAAAGAAATTGTGGGGGGGCCAATTTTTTCTCATTTCAGATTTCAGAAATTAAAAAGAATTATTCTTCAAATATTTTTTTTTTTTCAAATTTCAAATATTGAAAAATTTCAAGAAGTAATCTTTAATTGCACAGTATGGCGCATTAGATTTGTAAAATCTTTGATCACATTTATTTATTTGTTATGCCGAATCTAACAGTGTATTTAGATTTTTAATTTTGGGTCCAGTTTTCAAATTGGTTTACATTAATGTCCAAAGGGTCCAAAATTAAACTTTGTTTGATTTTAGCAAAAATTGAATATATGAGGTTCTTTGATATGCTGAATCTAAACATGTTTTTAGATTTTTGATTTTTGGCCCAGTTTTCAAGTTGGTCCAAATTGGGGTCCAAAATTAAACTTTGTTTGATTTCAACAAAAATTGAATATATGGGGTTCTTTGATATGCTGAATCTAACCATGTATTTAGATTTTTTATTTGTGGACCCCGTTATCTAATTGGTTCATATTGAGGTCAAAAGGGTCCAAAATTAAACTTTGTTTGATTTCATCTAAAATTGAATTATTGGGGTTCTTTGATATTCCAAATCTAACCGTGTATTTAGGTTTTTAGTTTTGGGTCCTGTTTTTTAAATTGGTCTACATTGAGGTCCAAAGGGTCCAAAATTAAACTTAGTTTGATTTTAACAAAAATTGAATTCTTGGGGTTCTTTGATTTGCTGAATCTAAACATGTGTTTAGATTTTTGATTATGGGCCCAGTTTTCAAGTTGGTCCAAGATAGGGTCCAGTATTTAAACTTTGTTTGATTTCAACAAAAATTGAATATATGGGGTTCTTTGATATGCTGAATCTAAACATGTATTTAGATTTTTGATTATGGGCCCAGTTTTCAAGTTGGTCCAAATTGGGGTCCAAAATTAAACTTTGTTTGATTTCAACAAAAATTGAATATATGAGGTTCTTTTATATCCTGAATCTAACCATGTATTTAGATTTTTTATTTGTAGGCCCCGCTATCAAATTGGTTCATATTGAGGTCAAAAGGGTCCAAAATGAAACTTCGTTTGATTTCATCGAAAATTGAATTATTGGGGTTCTTTGATATGCCAAATCTAACCGTGTTTTTAGATTTTTAATTTGGGCCTCGTTTTTTAAATTGGTCTTCATTGAGGTCCAAAGGGTCCAAAATTAAACTTAGTTTGATTTTAACAAAAATTGAATTCTTGGGGTTCTTTGATATGCTGAATCTAAACATGTGTTTAGATTTTTGATTATGGGCCCAGTTTTCAAGTTGGTCCAAGTTGGGGTCCAAAATTAAACTTTTTTTGATTTCAACAAAAATTGAATATATGGGGTTCTTTGATATGCTGAATCTAACCATGAATTTAGATTTTTTATTTGTGGGCCCCGCTATCAAATTGGTTCATATTGAGGTCAAAAGGGTCCAAAATTAAACTTTGTTTGATTTCATCAAAAATTGAATTATTGGGGTTCTTTGATATTCCAAATCTAACCGTGTATTTAGATTTTTAATTTTAAGTCCCGTTTTTTAAATTGGTCTACATTAAGGTCCAAAGGGTCCAAAATTAAACTTAGTTTGATTTTAGCAAAAATTGAATTCTTGGGGTTCTTTGATATGCTGAATCTAAACATGTGTTTAGATTTTTGATTATGGGCCCAGTTTTCAAGTTTGTCCAAGTTGGGGTCCAAAATTAAACTTTGTTTGATTTTAACAAAAATTGAATATATGGGGTTCTTTGATATGCTGAATCTAACCATGTATTTTGATTTTGGACATTGGACCATAATAGGTAAATTAAAAAAATTCAAGTTCTTAGACCACATTCATTCTGTGTCAGAAACCTATGCTGTGTCAAATATTTAATAACAATCCAAATTCAGAGCTGTATCAAGCTTGAATGTTGTGTCCATACTTGCCCCAACTGTTGAGGGTTCGACCTCTGCGGTCGTATCAAGCTGCGCCCCAGCGAAGCATTTTATTGTGTTTTGGTCTGTTTTTCAAGTACTTTAAGCAATAGGTCAACTATATTTGGTGTTTTGGAATGATTGTAAGGTGTACAAGTCTGTCTTGCAGGTATCATCTGACCTTGACCTCATTTTCATGGTTCATTGGTCAATTTTACACAATAGGTCAACTATATTTGGTGTATAAAAAAATTGTAAAGTGTATATATGTCTGTCTGACACAATTTATCTGACATTGACCTCATTGTCATAGATTTTTAAAAATGTTAGGTTTCTGTAATGCTTTTAGTAAAACCTTTATCTTTAAGACTTTCAACATAAAATCAATGGTCAGTAAAGCAGGAGACATTTCAGCGTGTGCACTCTTGTATTTCTATTTAAAGCACACACCAGCTGATAGTATAGTTAATATATTTCTATTTATAGCACACACCAGCTGATGGTATGGTCTATATTGTCTTTAAGTCTTATGTTGAACTGCTTGTATCCAAAACTAAAGGACTTTGGCAGGTAATTGTTTTATGTTTCTATTTATAGCACACACCAGTGGATGCAATGGTTCTTGTAGCCAGTACATATTATAATGACCTGTTTATTGCTCAAAATAAAGGAAAATGGCAGGTATGGTTTGATTTGGATCCTCTCAGTCATGTTTGGGAATCACCTTATTAAAGGAATGTTAACATACACATATTTCTTGGTCATTTATTTAATGTTGTTTTTCATCACTTGCATTTAAATTATTGTGGTTGGTTTGGTCTAGAACTTATTGTAGCACCTAGTACATAGTATTCTATTGGTGAATGTGGTTCTGGAAATAACCTCACATATGGGTACTGCTACTTTGTAAGTTTATTTATACAGAGAGTTAGAGAGGCGTAAAATAAGCATAGAGCATTACATGAAATTTTGTATCTTAATCTAACTTACCCTTAGTAGCAAGTTCATTTTAGATGTCAAGCATGTTCTACCCAAGTTTTGTTGAAATTACAACATGACATTATTTACAAAGCAAAAGAAGAATGTCATATTAGAATTTACAGTAGACATTGCTACATTGTGCTAAGTGAGTTTATAGTGGAAGCTTAACATCTTTCAAATTTCTTAGCTTTTCAAAACCAGATATTGCATAATCAGTTTAGATTGAACGCTAACTACCCCAGTAGTTCGGTACCATTAGGGAACTTATTGTGTCGCCGGACAGTGTCCAGTTGTTGGGACAAATAGAGATCACTTCTGCCACTATTTGTTTATCCCAAAATCTAGGAAAACAGCTTGACAGACTTCATCCAAACTTGCACGGATTTAACAAGTCATGAAGCTATGCACCAGTTGTTTTAATTTTTGATGTTTGGGGTTTTTGGGGTTTCTAATACCAAAACCTGGACCTACATCAGTTTGTTAATCAACGACTCCTTGAAAATGACTTGACAGAATTCATCCAAACTTGTACAGGTTCTTCTACAGGACATGAAGTTCAGCACTTCCTATTAATTCTTGATCTGAGAGATTTTGGCAGTTTTAATATTTATGCTTTAATTGTTTGGATATGTGACACACCTCTTCCTTGGAAGTCTCATACATTTAAAAAAAAAAGGAACTCTAGAGAAAAATGTTTTCTTTTTCAGGGAAGTACTGCAAAAAGAGATTTACCAGAACCTATACAACTTATATTCCATGTTGATGATGTTATTAGAAATAATATAATCAAAGCTAAAATTGGCCACAAACAAGTAGTGAGTATTGTTTTGTGTAATATGAACTAAGTATGAAATAGATGTGAGCAAACATTATATTGTGTAAGATGAACTAAGTATGAAATAAATGTGAGCAAATTGTCAACATGAAAACTCAAGATGTGAGAAAAATTATACTGCCTAAGTGGAACTTTTTAAATTTAGAAATTATTCAAGAATTTAGGTTCCGAATCCGTCATGCAAAGTTGACTGGAAGAGAATGAAGGTCCTATGGATGCTCTATAATAATGGAGTTGTTATAGTAGGGGGTTGAGAGCTCTATAATAAGGGAGTTGAGAAGATGCTCTATAATAAGGGAGTTGAGAGGATGCTCTATAATAAGGGAGTTGAGAGGATGCTCTATAATAAGGGAGTTGAGAGGATGCTCTATAATAAGGGGGTTGAGAATATGCTCTATAATAAGGGGGTTGAGAGGATGCTCTATAATAAGGGAGTTGAGAGGATGCTCTATTATAAGGGAGTTGAGAAGATGCTCTATAATAAGGGGGTTGAGATGATGCTCTATTATAAGGGAGTTGAGAGGATGCTCTATTATAAGGGAGTTGAGATGATGCTCTATAATAAGGGGGTTGAGAGGATGCTCTATAATAAGGGAGTTGAGAGGATGCTCTATTATAAGGGAGTTGAGAGGATGCTCTATTATAAGGGAATTGAGAGGATGCTCTATAATAAGGGGGTTGAGATGATGCTCTATTATAAGGGGGTTGAGAAAATGTTCTATAAAATGGGAGTTATGTATTTTCTAAATATTTTAAAGAATGAGGATAGATTTTAATATAATCTTTATATTTTAGTCAGATAATCTGCAGTGTTATGCCAAATTTTATACAAAATATGGAAAGACGTATTTACGCAGACATAAACTTCATCCAGACACACATGTACAACTGGCATTACAGTATGCTTACTATAAAATACACAAAAAGTAAGTACAGACATAAACTTCATCCAGACACACATGTAAAACTGGCTTTACAGTATGCTTACTATAAAATACACAAAAAGTAAGTACAGACATAAACTTCATCCAGACACAGATGTAAAACTGGCTTTACAGTATGCTTACTATAAAATACACAAAAAGTAAGTACAGACATAAACTATATCCAGATACACATGTAAAACTGGCATTACAGTATGCTTACTATAAAATACACAAAAAGTAAGTGCAGACATAAACTTCTTCCAGACACACATGTACAACTGGCTTTACAGTATGCTTACTATAAAATACACAAAATGTAAGTACTTTTTATTTTTGTAATATTTCACTATGCAAAGTTTTGATTCTATTTTTCAAAGGGAGCCAATTTCAAAGTTAACTTAGATATTTTCTTTAATTGATAACAAAATTTAAATTTCAGGCCAGGGCCAACATATGAAACAGCAACAATAAGACGATTTTATAATGGACGTACAGAAACAATGAGGAGTTGTACAACTGATGCTTTTGAATGGAGTAAATCTATGTGTGATAAAAATACCTCAGTAAGTCATCCGTTTATAAAAATCTATGTGTGATAAAAATACCTCAGTAAGTCATCCTTTATAAAAATCTATGTGTGATAAAAATACCTCAGTAAGTCATCCGTTTATAAAAATCTATGTGTGATAAAAATACCTCAGTAAGTCATCCGTTTATAAAAATCTATGTGTGATAAAAATACCTCAGTAAGTCATCCTTTATAAAAATCTATGTGTGATAAAAATACCTCAGTAAGTCATCCGTTTATAAAAATCTATGTGTGATAAAAATACCTCAGTAAGTCATCCGTTTATAAAAATCTATGTGTGATAAAAATACCTCAGTAAGTCATCCTTTATAAAAATCTATGTGTGATAAAAATACCTCAGTAAGTCATCCGTTTATAAAAATCTATCTGTGATAAAAATACCTCAGTAAGTCATCCATTTATAAAAATCTATGTGTGATAAAAATACCTCAGTAAGTCATCCGTTTATAAAAATCTATGTGTGATAAAAATACCTCAGTAAGTCATCCGTTTATAAAAATCTATGTGTGATAAAAATACCTCAATAAGTCATCTGTATATAAAAATCTATGTGTGATAAAAATACCTCAGTAAGTCATCCGTTTATAAAAATCTATGTGATAAAAAATACCTCAGTAAGTCATCCGTTTATAAAAATCTATGTGTGATAAAAATACCTCAGTAAGTCATCCGTTTATAAAAATCTATGTGTGATAAAAATACCTCAGTAAGTCATCCCTTTATAAAAATCTATGTGTGATAAAAATACCTCAGTAAGTCATCTGTATATAAAAATCTATGTGATAAAAAATACCTCAGTAAGTCATCCATTTATAAAAATCTATGTGTGATAAAAATACCTCAGTAAGTCATCCATTTATAAAAATCTATGTGTGATAAAAATACCTCAGTAAGTCATCCCTTTATAAAAATCTATGTGTGATAAAAATACCTCAGTAAGTCATCTGTATATAAAAATCTATGTGTGATAAAAATACCTCAGTAAGTCATCCATTTATAAAAATCTATGTGTGATAAAAATACCTCAGTAAGTCATCCGTTTATAAAAATCTATGTGTGATAAAATTACCTCAGTAAGTCATCCGTTTATAAAAATCTATGTGTGATAAAAATACCTCAGTAAGTCATCCTTTATAAAAATCTAAGTGTGATAAAAATACCTCAGTAAGTCATCCGTTTATAGAAATCTTATAGCTATAGAGAGAACACATACTTTTTAATGGAGTTAATCTATGTGTGATAAAAATACCTCAGTAAGTCATCCGTTTATGAAAATCTATGTGTGATAAAAATACCTCAGTAAGTCATCTGTATATAGAAATGTTATAGCTACAGAGAGAACACATGCTTTTTTATGGAGTTTATTTATGTGTGATAAAAATACCTCAGAAAGTCATCCGTTTATAGAAATCTTATAGCTACAGAGAGAACACATGCTTTTTAATGGAGTTAATCTATGTGTGATAAAAATACCTCAGTAAGTCATCTGTGTATAAAAATCTATGTGTGATAAAAATACCTCAGTAAGTCATCCGTTTATAGAAATCTATGTGTGATAAAAATACCTCGGTAAGTCATCTGTTTACAAAAATCTATGTGTGATAAAAATACCTCAGTAAGTCATCCGTTTATAGAAATCTTATAGCTATAGAGAGAACACATTCTTTTTAATGGAGTTAATCTATGTGTGATAAAAATACCTCAGTAAGTCATCCGTTTATAGAAATCTTATAGCTACAGAGAGAACACATGCTTTTAAATGGAGTTAATCTATGTGTGATAAAAATACCTCAGTAAGTCATCCGTTTATAGAAATCTTATAGCTACAGAGAGAACACATGCTTTTAAATGGAGTTAATCTATGTGTGATAAAAATACCTCAGAAAGTCATCTGTATATAGAAATCAATGTTGTTAAAATACATCAGTTAGTCATTCATATCCACTGGAGACCAAATGAAGTGGAAGTAAACAACTATAGGTCACCTGTATATCTAAACCAATTACAACTAATAATGTAACATATTAAAAGTTCCAAATTCCGAATGATTAAATGATCACACTTTTTCCTTGATTTCAAGTCAGGAGTCTGTGTGTTTAATGTATACATGTAGCAAGCAACACATGTCTTCTTGTCTGTGTGTTTAATGTATACACGTAGCAAGCAACAAATGTCTTCTTGTGTGTGTGTTCAATGTATACATGTAGCAAGCAACAAATGTCTTCTTGTCTGTGTGTTCAGTGTATACATGTAGCAAGCAACAAATGTCTTCTTGTCTGTGTGTTCAGTGTATACATGTAGCAAACAACAAATGTCTTGTCTGTGTGTTCAATGTATACATGTAGCAAGCAACAAATGTCTTCATGTCTGTGTGTTCAATGTATACATGTAGCAAGCAACAAATGTCTTCTTGTCTGTGTGTTCAATGTATACATGTAGCAAGCAACACATGTCTTCTTGTCTGTGTGTTCAATGTATAGGTACATGTAGCAAGCAACAAATGTCTTCTTGTCTGTGTGTTCAATGTATAGGTACATGTAGCAAGCAACAAATGTCTTCTTGTCAGTGTGTTCAATGTATACATGTAGCAAGCAACAAATGTCTTCTTGTCTGTGTGTTCAATGTATACATGTAGCAAGCAACAAATGTCTTCTTGTCTGTGTGTTCAATGTATACATGTAGCAAGCAACAAATGTCTTCTTGTCTGTGTGTTCAATGTATACATGTAGCAAGCAACAAATGTCTTCTTGTCTGTGTGTTCAATATATACATGTAGCAAGCAACACATGTCTTCTTGTCTGTGTGTTCAATGTATACATGTAGCAAGCAACAAATGTCTTCTTGTCTGTGTGTTCAATGTACAGGTACATGTAGCAAGCAACAAATGTCTTCTTGTCTGTGTGTTCAATGTACAGGTACATGTAGCAAGCAACAAATGTCTTCTTGTCTGTGTGTTCAATGTATACATGTAGCAAGCAACAAATGTATTCTTGTCTATGTGGTCAATGTATACATGTACCATTAAAATGTTTAAACCCGCTGCAATTGTTTGCACCTGTCCTAAATCAGGAATCTGATGTTCAGTAGTTGTCGTTTGTTGATGTGGTTCATAAGTGTTTCTCGTTTCTGGTTTTTTATATAGATTAGACCGTTGGTTTTCCCGTTTGAATGGTTTTACACTAGTAATTTTTGGGGCCCTTTATAGCTTGCTGTTAGGTGTGAGCCAATGCTCCGTGTTGAAGACCATACTTTGACCTATAATGGTTTACTTTTATAAATTTTGACTTGGATGGAGAGTTGTCTCATTGGCACTCATACCACATCTTCTTATATCTATGTAGCAAGCAACAAATGTCTTCTTTAAAAAAAATTCTTCGCAATTAGAGAAAATAATGTTTTCTTTAAAAAGATTCTTTTACAATTACATGATCTTAATCAAGTTCTTCTGTTTTCTGAAGATTTCTTTATTTTCATGTACAGGCAAAATTAACTTGGTTGTTTATTGTGGTATTCCTTTTTACCACTATTCCCCTTTATAGTGTATTTGGTGGTATTCCTTTTTGTCGAGCCTGCGACTAAGACATAGCAATCCTACATTCAGTCGGCGTCGTCGGCAGCGTCCACAAATATTCACTCTGTGGTTAAAGTTTTTGAAATTTTAATAACTTTCTTAAACTATCCTGGATTTCTACCAAACTTAGACAGAAGCTTGTTTATGATCTTAAATTAGTATCCAGAAGTAAATTTTGTAAAAAAAAAAATCCTGTTTATCCGTATTTCACTTATAAATGGACTTAGTTTTTCTGACAGTGAACATTACATTCACTCTGTGGTTAAAGTTTTAAAAATTTTAATAACTTTCTTAAACTATCCTGGATTTCTACCAAACTTGGACAGAAGCTTGTTTATGATCATAAGATAGTATCCAGAAGTAAATTTTGTAAAAAAAAGAATCCTGTTTTTCCATATATTACTTATAAATGGACTTAGTTTTTCTTCCAGTAAACTTTACATACAGTCTGCAGTTAAAAGATTTTAAACATTTATTAGATTCATAAACCATCCTGTATTTTTACCAAACTTGGACAGAAGCTTTTTACAATCAAAAGATAGTATCTGAAGGAAAATTTTTAATAATTTTTTCCCCATTTTTGTTGAGCCTGCGACTAACCACAAGAGTAGGCGAGACACTGGGTTCAGCAGAACCCTTACAAATTTTTACCATTATTCCCCTTTATGGTGTATTTGGTGGTATTTCTTTTAACAATATCCCTCTTCATGGTGTATTTGGTGGTATTTCTTTTAACAATATCCCTCTTCATGGTGTATTTGGTGGTATTTCTTTTAACAATATCCCTCTTCATGGTGTATTTGGTGGTATTTCTTTTAACATTATCCCTCTTCATGGTGTATTTGGTGGTATTTCTTTTAACAATATCCCTCTTCATGGTGTATTTGGTGGTATTTCTTTTAACAATATCCCTCTTCATGGTGTATTTGGTGGTATTTCTTTTAACAATATCCCTCTTCATGGTGTATTTGGTGGTATTTCTTTTAACAATATCCCTCTTCATGGTGTATTTGGTGGTATTTCTTTTAACAATATCCCTCTTCATGGTGTATTTGGTGGTATTTCTTTTAACAATATCCCTCTTCATGGTGTATTTGGTGGTATTTCTTTTAACATTATCCCTCTTCATGGTGTATTTGGTGGTATTTCTTTTAACAATATCCCTCTTCATGGTGTATTTGGTGGTATTTCTTTTAACATTATCCCTCTTCATGGTGTATTTGGTGGTATTTCTTTTAACAATATCCCTCTTCATGGTGTATTTGGTGGTATTTCTTTTAACATTATCCCTCTTCATGGTGTATTTGGTGGTATTTCTTTTAACAATATCCCTCTTCATGGTGTATTTGGTGGTATTTCTTTTAACATTATCCCTCTTCATGGTGTATTTGGTGGTATTTCTTTTAACAATATCCCTCTTCATGGTGTATTTGGTGGTATTTCTTTTAACAATATCCCTCTTCATGGTATATTTGATGTATTGTTTCCAAATTATTACCCATAATCCATTAGATTCTGTTACAGTGTATTTAAGGATGTACACCTCTGAGGAGCCAAAAATTTCTAGAATTAAACTTTTTTTCTTAACCTAATTTTTGGGTTTATATGACTGTAAAAAAATAATTGGTGAAGAAAAAATCATATGGTGGTGCTCTTCTTTTTTTTTGCTACGGCCTTTTGAAAGTACCCAATTCTGATGGTTTTCCCATTTTTATACGCCCGTCAAATTTTTGACGGGACGTATTATGGTATACAAATGTCCGGCGTCCGTCCGTCTGTCTGTCTGTCTGGCGTAAACATGTCGCACCATAACTTGAGAATGACTTATCCAAATTTCATGAAACTTAACATAGTTGTTTCTTATGATGGTCAAACGATCTGTATACTTTTTGGTGAAAATAAGATTAAAACTTTTTGAGTTACGGGACTTAGTAGCTAAAACAGGTGTGTGTTTTTTTTCACATGTCGCGCCGTATCTCAAAAACAATTTATGATTATTGCTTAAAACTTTACACACTTCTTAGTTATATTAATCTTAAGATCTGTATACTTTTTGGTGATGATTCAAAATTTTATTTTAGAGATATTGAGTATTTTGTTAAAAAAGGGGGAGGGGTTTTCACATGTTGCGCCGTATCTCAAAAACTGTTTATGATTATTGCTTAAAACTTTACACACTTCTTAGTTATATTAACCTTAAGATCTGTATACTTTTTGGTGATGATTCAAAATTTTATTTTAGAGATATTGAGTATTTTGTAAAAAAAGGGGGAGGGGTTTTTCACATGTCGCGCCGTATCTCAAAAACGATTTATGATTATTGCTTAAAATTTTACACACTTCTTAGTTATATTAATCTAAAGATCTGTATACTTTTTGGTTTTGATTCAAAATTTCATTTTTGAGATATTGATTTTTTTTTTTAAAAGGGGGGGTTTTCACATGTCGCGCCGTATCTCAAAAACGATTTATGATTTTTGCTTAAAATTTTACACACTTCTTAGTTATATTAATCTAAAGATCTGTATACTTTTTGGTTTTGATTCAAAATTTTATTTTAGAGATATTGATTTTTTTTTTTTTTAAAAAGGGGGGTTTTCGCATGTCACGCCGTATGTCAGAAACTATTTATGCTTATTGCATAAAAATTCACACACAAGACGACGGGCGTATCATGCGCTCATGGCACAGCTGTTTATTCATCAATTTTTACCCATTTGTGGGCTATTATCGTGAAAAAAATTACAGTTTCACAATCAAACTTTTTTTCATACTTTCAATAAAGATGAAGTGGACCAATCTGAATAAATTTAACTTAAAAAAACTATAGGTAGGTGTTAATATAAGAAAGTTATATAAAATTTTGTTGCTTTTTCGTGTCAAATTTACCATGCTGTCAATTTTGTAAATTTGGGATTTTTTCTCTTTTTTTAAGAACAAAAAGCATATTATTTCAACTTCTTTGTTATAAATGATTGAAAAAATACATATGTAAGAAATTTGAAAAGAAAAAATTGATATGGGATGTACATGTTTCTGGTAAACTCATTTCTTGTACCCTCACCCATTTTCTCAACATTTTGGCTAATGAGACTGACTTGATTGGTAATAAAATTTGAAAACTTTATTACTCAAAAACTACTTATTGTAAATACACAATTTTTTCACAGAGTTAAGTTTGATTATAATATTTTTTAAATTCATTGATATTTTCCACTTGTATCACATGTTTTGGAAATAATTCCAGAACGAGATTTCAACAAGACTGAAACGTCAGAAGAATAATCATTAAGTTGTTCTGTTGTTTCAGGTACAGACATGATATTATAGATTGGATATTTTAAATAAAACTAATATGTAGTCTTGTTCACATAAAGTCATTTTTACAGTGATTTTTTCAACTATTTGAAACATATTATCACATCCACTTGAGTTGTCCTTCTTGCATCGTGTTTGGGGCCTCGGTGGCCGAGTGGTCTAAGTAGTTACTACTGTAATCACTAGCCAGTCAACACTGATGTTGTGAGTTCAAACCCAGCTCGTGCAGGTGCACTCGACTCCAATCTTAATTGACTAGGATTGTCAGTTTTCCTATCGAAGGTCTGTTGTTTTCTCGGGGCACTCCGGCTTCCTCCACCAATGAAAACTGGCCGCCACAAAATAGCCCAAAAGCGATGCTTAAAAGTGGCGTTAAAAAACACCAAAAAAAAAAAATCTTGCATCGTGTTAATAAATCACTTGTATAATCCATCAATAGTTGATTATCTCCCTTTTAACAACCATCATCATTCTTTTTACTGGGAGCTTTACATTCAACATTTAACATATAGGTTTTGAACACTACTTGATACTTTTAATCATTTGCTGAAAAATATCATATTAGACAACATGATTTAAAGAACCTGTTGGAAAATTAACTTCTGCTGTTGAGCATGTAGAGTAGTATTGATAATTGGTAAAATAAAACTCACAAATGCACAAATTGTATTATAGTTTTGTTTTGTTATCTTTTTCCAGGTACAGACAAAATATAATTTATACCTTAAAGCATCAAATAAACATAATATATTGATGAGTGAAGCACAGGAAGTCAAAGGTAAGATAAACTCATACTTTGGTGTTAGATTTGATGGCTGAGTGTAGAATTAGAATAAAAAGTTATTTCATTTTAAAATCACGCATTTCAAATAAAAAAAATGTTACACCTATTATAACCTGGATGCTATCATGGGCAAAATTTGAAGATGTTTATTGATGAAATTCATTTCAGGCATCTGCAGAATATTGTAGGCACATCAGTCAGGGAATTGATGACATCAAATTTTTACTTTCTCCAATAATGATTGCCATTAAAAATGACAAATAAATCTTAGAATTTACATATGTATTTTTTGTATGATTGTGTTTTTATGATTTACATTTTTTGACTAAAATGAAACTACCGGGTAAATGTTCTCTTGGTTACCTTGTCTATCCTATTATTTTTTCTTATTGTACAGAATAATTTAGTAATTTTTGTCTTCCATGTGATCTATGTCTTCACAGACATAGGTGTTACTCATCAACCTTATAGATGATATGTTAACATTTAAGTTATCTGATTAGATCCAGTACATAATAAGTACTTACAACATTATATTTAGAAAACATTGTATGCATAATGGAACTTTCTATTCCTGTTTTACCAGATATTGATGTCAAGTCTCTGTGTAATTGTTTTCTTGTTTTAGGTTGTGATCGACATTTACTAGGGTTATACCTGTTAGCAAGAGAACAAGGATTGTCTGTTCCACAAATATTCACTGATCCTGCTTTTTCTAAAAGGTATTATCTTTTGTAAAACTTACATCTAAATGACCACATTTACATCTGCTATGTAGATAAGGTCCACATTTCAAAATTGTCAGTCTGTATTTTTATATTTTTACAATGAATGTTACTTTGATAACATCTATAAAATGCTCCAGCAATGTTTTGGTGTAAGGAGTATCTTAAGTTTTGACAACAAAACATAGAGACATGATTGCAAAATATTTAATATACCTGGATTCTATTGATGCAGTTTTACCTTCTTTCATTTGTTTCATGACATGAGGTCAATCCATAAACACAACAGATGACTCAAACTTTGATTATAAGTAATATATTCTATGTTGATTTATTAATTGGTACTTTAATATGTAAATGCACATAACATCTTTGATACATGACTTGTCAAAGGACATGTATGTCATTCAATCTTAGATGGACTTGTCAATGGACATGTATGTCATCCAATCTCAGATGGGCTTGTCAAAGGACATGTATGTCATCCAATCTCAGATGGGCTCGTCAAAGGACATGTATGTCATTCAATCTTAGATGGGCTCGTCAAAGGACATGTATGTCATCCAATCTTAGATAGACTTGTCAAAGGACATGTATGTCATTCAATCTTAGATGAGCTTGTAAAAGGACATGTATGTCATCCAATCTTAGATGGGCTCGTCAAAGGACATGTATGTCATCCAATCTTAGATGGGCTTGTCAGAGGACATGTATGTCATCCAATCTCAGATGGGCTTGTCAAAGGACATATATGTCATCCAATCTTAGATTGGCTCGTCAAAGGACATGTACCGGTGTGTCATCCAATCCTAGATTGGCTGATCAAAGGACAACTATATCATACAATCTTAGATGGGCTTGTAAAAGAACATGTATGTCATGTAATGTTAGATTTACTTGTTAAAGGACATGTATGTCATCCAATCTCAAATGGACTTGTCAAAGGATATCTATGTCACCAAAGCTCAGTTTGACTTGAATATCAAAGGACATGTATGTCATCCAATCTCAGATGGGCTTGTCAAGGGACATGTATGCAAAATTTCAGATTGTCTTGTTAAGGAATTTGTATGTCACCAAATCCCAGATTGACTTGTCAAAGGAACTGTATGTCACCAAATATCAGATCGTCTTGTCAATGGACATGTATGTCACCAAATATCAGATCGTCTTGTCAATGGACATGTATGTCACCAAATATCAGATCGTCTTGTCAATGGACATGTATGTCACCAAATATCAGATCGTCTTGTCAATGGACGTCTTGTCAATGGACATGTATGTCACCAAATATCAGATTGTCTTGTCAATGGACATGTATGTCACCAAATATCAGATTGTCTTGTCAATGGACATGTTTGGCATTAAATATCAGATTTACTTGTCAGTGGACATTTATGTTACTAAATATTAGATCAACTTGTGGAAGGATATGATTTGCTACAACCCAACTATAGAAAGAAAGCTTTAAATCATCCTAATTGTCAATGTTTTGAAGAAAGTCTTTATCATGGACAAACATTTATGAAGTGTTGACATTTTGTTAAACTTTAAAATGATGTACTATTGGCAAATGATTTGAATAGTTGACCAGAGTACATCAGAAAACCCACCAAATCAGATTGAATATATACTGCAATACATGTTAAAAATACCAAATATGGAACCAAGATTGAAAAGTCTCAAAACTTATGCTTGATTGATTTTTATACGACCGCAAAAAAATTTTTGTGGTCGTATATTGGTATGACATTGGCGTCATCGTCGTCGTCCGAAGACACATTAGTTTTCGCACTCTAACTTTAGTTTAAGTGAATGGATCTCAATGAAATTTTACCATAAGGTTCAATACCACAAAAGGAAGGTGGGGATTGATTTTGGGGGTTATGGTACCAACAGTTAAGGAATTAGGGGCCAAAAATAAGCATTTTTGTAACTTCCAGACATAACTTTTGTGTAAGTGTATGGATCTCTCTGACATTGTATCACAAGGTTCCATATCACAAAGGGAATGCCGGGATTGATTTTGGGGGTAATTGCCTCCAAATTTTAGGAATTAGGGGCCAAAAAGGGGCAAAAAACAAGCATGTTTCTAGTTTCATGACAATAACTTGTGTGTAAGTGTATGGATCTTTATGAAATTGTACTACAAGGTTCCATATCACAAAGGAAGCTGGAATTGAGTTTTGGGGTAATTGCCCAAAAAGTTTAGGAATAAGGGGCCAAAAGGGGCCAAAAATAAGCATTTTTCTAGTTTCCAGACAATAACTTGTGTTCAAGTGTATGGATCTCTCTGAAATTGTACTGCAAGGTACCATACCACAAAGGGAAGGCTGGGATTGAGTTTGGGTGTGATGAATCATAAGGGGGTTCAAAAAATTTGGGGGGGGGGGATTTTTTTTTCCTTTTTTTTCTTTAAAATTTTCCATTTTAAATTGGTTATTTCTGATTTCTGATTTATATATAAAAGCAAATAATAATGATATGGTTTGAATAGGTAAATTAAATTTTTTTAAGTTCTTTCATTCTGTGTCAGAAACCTATGGTGTGTCAAATATTTAATTACAATCCAAATTCAGTGCTGTGTCAAGCTTGAATGTTGTGTCCATACTTGCCCCAACTGTTCAGGGTTCGATTTCTGCGGTCATATCAAGCTGCGCCCCAGCGGAGCATTTTATTGAATGTTGGAGTTCTTATTTGTTAAGTTACTGACTCCCTTTAGAATTATACTGTTAAAATGGAATAATAGAGTTTTTTGTAAACCTTGGTAGGACAGCTAACTAAATTTTTTTGAATTTCATAATAAATGTAGATTTAAAACTCACCATAGCTTTGACACAGTCCTACATTTTTGTGTGTCCTCACATATTTTGTTTATTTTTAGTGGTGGTGGTAGTACTTTGCTTTGTCTACAAGTTTTGTAGGATATACAACAGTTTATGATGGAGTGGCTCTAATGCCTACATCTGTGTGTGTCCTCACTTATTTTGTTTATTTCTAGTGGTGGTGATGGTAACTTTGCCTTGTCTATAAGCTTTGTAGGATATACAACAGTTTATAAGGGAGTGGCTCTAATGCCTACATCTGTGTGTGTCCTCACTTATTTTGTTTATTTCTAGTGGTGGTGATGGTAACTTTGCCTTGTCTATAAGCTTTGTAGGATATACAACAGTTCATAATGGAGTGGCTCTGATGCCTACATCTGTGTGTGTCCTCACTTATTTTGTTTATTTTCAGTGGTGGTGGTGGTAACTTTGCCTTGTCTACAAGTTTTGTAGGATATACAACAGTTTATGGTGGAGTGGCTCTAATGCCTACATCTGTGTGTGTCCTCACTTATTTTGTTTATTTTCAGTGGTGGTGGTGATAACTTTGCCTTGTCTACAAGTTTTGTAGGATATACAACAGTTTATGTTGGAGTGGCTCTAATGCCTACATTTGTGTGTGTCCTCACTTATTTTATTTATTTTCAGTGGTGGTGGTGGTAACTTTGCCTTGTCTACAAGTTTTGTAGGATATACAACAGTTTATGGTGGAGTAGCTCTAATGCCTATATCTGTGTGTGTCCTCACTTATTTTGTTTATTTTCAGTGGTGGTGGTGGTAACTTTGCCTTGTCTACAAGTTTTGTAGGATATACAACAGTTTATGGTGGAGTGGCTCCGATGATAGAAGATGGTTATGGTTGTTTTTATCACATGGAACCAAAACAGTATGTATACATCAAATTAAAGTGTTAACTATATGGTTATAAAGTGGATAGATATTGGTAGTGAATACCACTATATTATGTCATGTAGCTATTTTAGTTATGTTAGATCTTTTTTCTCAGTTTTGCCATACAAATGAAAACATTTTTTTTTTTCTTTTCTTTTTTTATTGAAATCTGTACATTTGTTAGTATGGAAAAACATCAAATACCTGTACCTTATCCCGGCCTCTTTAATGTTAGCAATAGAACATGTAAATATATATCTGTTAGTACTTGTTAGTTCATTTTACAAAACATTATATCAGCTGTAGTTACTGAACAGATATATCATGTTAAGGAGGGGTATTTGCGAAAAATACCAGTCGAGAGAATGTTAAATTTCGCGAGCCGTAAGGTGAGGGAAATTCATTCTCAAGACTGGTATTTTTCGCAAATACCCCTCAAGAACATGCTATATCTGTTCAATTACACTGAATGTTAACGTAATAAACGCATTGATGATCGTGACATAAAACGATTGATGATCGTGACATTACAAGCGTCCAGTCGGATAGAGTATTTTTTGGCAAATACCACGGCAGAGAGGGTAAGAAAGGCATATCCTTTTTGCATATACCCCGGCGCTGTTAAAAATGAACGATATTCATTTGATAAAAGTAAATTGGTGAAAAATACACTGGCTATCAACCAATCAAAACCCAGGATTCTTACATAAGGTGTAATTATAGATATAATACCACATTTCTAGGTATAAATTATGCATTTAAAAAGAAAATATAACATAATAGAATGTTCAAAAGAAGGACCACAAATAAATGTATGATCAAAATAGAATAATTATTTTAAAAAACATACAGATATTCTAAATTTTATTGTTTAAGAATGGAAATTTTGTAGAAAAATAAGTAAATTTAAATAAATAAATAAGACAAAATTTGAAAGACAAAAAAAAAAGAAAATAAATATAATGTTCTGATGAATATTTTTTATTTTAGTTAACAAGTCAACATTCCATCATGTTATTCACATATGTATTATAATTATAGGACTTTAATTACAATTCGAACAAATGAGTAAATTGAATCCTCAATTTGTAGGAACTCTCAAGTTTATTGTTTTTTACTGCTATACACTTCTCTAGGTTATTAAGATCTTTTAATATTTTCTTCACAGCATGTATTGATAAATCTTTCTGGAAGTATTATAAATATATTATTTAAGACACAGAAAAATCAGATTTGAAATTTCACCCTTGTATACATGTGAGACATCAACAAACAAAAAAATCTTTTTGGTGAAGGAGATACTTATACCATTAGATAACAACCATATATCTATTTCTTCTATAAAATTCTGGACATTTTCACAATTTCACAGTACATGTTCTGTAGCTTCTATTTCTTCCTTGCAAAAATTACACAATTAACTATTAATTACATTAATTTTACACAAAAATTTGTTTGTAGCTAATATCCTATGATTTATTCTAAATTGTAACCATTGTAATTTTGTGTTATTAGTTACAGAAAATGGGAGTTTGAACATTTCTCTCCATTCTAATTCATCAAGTTCCAAAATGAAAACATTTTTATCTGAACAACTATTTTCTTTAAATAGATGTGAGGAAATAGTGTAAGCATCCTGTGTGACATGCCTTCTTGTATGCTAGATAGCATGTTGAACATTCATTATTCCAGTAGTACAACATTGTATGGTTGAGAGACTTGTCTTCTTGTATGCTAGAGGTCTCGGTAGGTTGAGTGGTCTAAGTAGTGTAACTACTGTATCACTAGCCTGTCAACACTGAGTTTGTGTAGGGGTCTCAGTGGCTGAGTGGTCTAAGTAGTGTAACTACTGTATCTCTAGCCTGTCAACACTGAGTTTGTGTAGGGGTCTCAGTGGCTGAGTGGTCTAAGTAGTGTAACTACTGTATCACTAGCCTGTCAACACTGAGTTTGTGTAGGGGTCTCGGTGGCTGAGTGGTCTAAGTAGTCTAACTACTGTATCACTAGCCTGTCAACACTGAGTTTGTGTAGGGGTCTCGGTGGCTGAGTGGTCTAAGTAGTGTAACTACTGTATCACTAGCCTGTCAACACTGAGTTTGTGTAGGGGTCTCGGTGGCTGAGTGGTCTAAGTAGTCTAACTACTGTATCACTAGCCTGTCAACACTGAGTTTGTGTAGGGGTCTCAGTGGCTGAGTGGTCTAAGTAGTGTAACTACTGTATCACTAGCCTGTCAACACTGAGTTTGTGTAGGGGTCTCGGTGGCTGAGTGGTCTAAGTAGTGTAACTACTGTATCTCTAGCCTGTCAACACTGAGTTTGTGTAGGGGTCTCGGTGGCTGAGTGGTCTAAGTAGTGTAACTACTGTATCTCTAGCCTGTCAACACTGAGTTTGTGTAGGGGTCCCGGTGGCTGAGTGGTCTAAGTAGTCTAACTACTGTATCACTAGCCTGTCAACACTGAGTTTGTGTAGGGGTCCCGGTGGCTGAGTGGTCTAAGTAGTCTAACTACTGTATCACTAGCCTGTCAACACTGAGTTTGTGTAGGGGTCCCGGTGGCTGAGTGGTCTAAGTAGTCTAACTACTGTATCACTAGCCTGTCAACACTGAGTTTGTGTAGGGGTCTCGGTGGCTGAGTGGTCTAAGTAGTCTAACTACTGTATCTCTAGCCTGTCAACACTGAGTTTGTGAGTTCGAAACCACGCATGTCCATGCATGTTCAACTCCAATCTTTATTGACTAGGATCGTCAGTTTTCCTGTCGAAGGTCTGTGGTTCTCTCCTGGCACTCTGGCTTCCTCCACCCCCAAAAAAACTGACTGCCACGAAATAGCCAATAGTGCTGAAAGTGGCGTAAATCACCAATCAATCTTGTATGCTAGCTAGCATGTTTAAAATCCATCTCATTATACTATTCTAGTATAACATTATATCACATTAAAATCTGACAACTATTTACAGAATAGCTGCTGTTGTAACCACATGGAGAAGTTGTAAAGAAACAGATTCTGTTGTGTTTATGAATGAAGTTCATCAATGTTTAACAGAGATGGGTGAAATGATAGAGAATGGCCAACAAACACATGCTAAATTATAAACCTTGCTCATTACAGGTGTTGTGGATGTTCGTAATGTGTTGTGGCTCATATGGCACTGCCTAAATTATTATTTTTACATTATAAACAGAATTATAAAAAATTGTTGTGCAATAAACAGTCTACTCTCATTATCTCAAACGTTATGACACTGACAATAATAATTTAAGATAACATAAGACAAATTTTTCAATTGGGCCAGACATCTTGGCTTGATATAACTGGAATTTTGAAATACCAAAAATTTGTGATAAGGACAGTAACTGAATATTGTTCTGTCAAACAGAATATAATCTTTTGTATGAGCCTATGTGTGCCAGAAATATCATGTGAGGATGTAAGTGTTAGCTATTCACTGGTCAACTGTCAAATCATTTACAGAAATCTGCTGTTCTATAGTACTTAATTGTCTCTCAATGTTACCATTGTTACAGAAATTTCCTGGAATTGACTCATTAGATTGTTTATGTAAAATGAAAAGTAATATGTTGTTTGTTCCACAAAGTGAGTTGAAATCAATTTACCATTCATAATTGAGAATTGATTAATTTTTAATGTTTACTTAATATAAAAATAAAGAGATGTGGTATGATTGCCAATGAGACAACTATCCACCAGAATTCAAATGAAGTGGATGTAAGCAATTAATGTCCAGTGGTAAATGATAGTTCATTATCCATAGTCATCAAATTGTTTTGTATTTTACTAAGTAATAGAATTTTTGTTCCTTTAATTGATAGATGTATTATCTGATTATTGTAGAGAAATGATTGTTCATGTTTATTTGTTTAGTAAATTACCTCCCTTTGATGTTCTCTATTTTTTGTCATTTAATAATGTCGTTGAGCATTTTTTTTAAAGAAATTTTAATTTCAATATCAATAAATAGAAAGGATTTATTTTACCAATTTTCCATTACTGTAATGCCAAAGTATTTTTGTTTTTGACTTGTATTTTTATAGTAATTCAAACACTCAACAACATTCCATGTCTAGAAAATCTTTAAGGAATAAGTAACTGTTTACTCGATAAGCTTTAATAAGTGTACTTGTATTCAATTTATCAATTCAGTGACATGTATTTAGACTTTTAATTGAGGAAAGTGAGAATAACTTCTTTTGTAAGAAACAAAGGGAAAGCATATTATCAATATGACTTTTGTTGAATTCTGATTTATTTTTGTCAGTGTCAATTTCCTTTTGTACATTTTTTTGGTTCAATGTCATAAATTTTGGTCTATATGATTACTCTTATGAAATTTAAACTCAACTTTCACTGCTGCAGATCTATACATTTGATTATGGTATCAGAGTGGTAAAAGTGGGGCACAAAAATAACATATATTAAGAATGAATTTCAAAAGGAACATGAAATAATTTCTTCCATGTATGTTGCACAAAAAATTAATTCTTTGAGTTGATAAATATATTAAATTGTGTTAGTTCTTAACTGACAGTCATCTTTTATCATAAAAAGCTTAAACAAGCAACAAATCCAAAAATTTATCTGGAAAATTATAATTTATTCCCCTGATTTTATGATTTTTAAGCATTTTCCTTCAATCAATATTACAAAGAATATCTATATCACCATTTTGTGTATTTTTCATTTTATCTTTTTTATGATAATTTTTCATATAATGCTACTTGCTTGAGATCGAAAATTATCGCAAGACACTAAACGTGCACATTCCATTGTCAATTTAAACATCAACAAAGTCATAGGCAAAGTAGCAATAAAGGGATTATCAATGGTCTTTCAAACTCGAGGATGTTTCTAGGCCACATCTCATCTCAGGGCTATCGCCTTTTGATGAGATTGTAGCTGAGAAACACCTTCTTGTTTCAAAAACTATCCATAATCTATAAATATTACATACAATATCTAATATTACATACAATATAAAATATCTAATACAATATCTAATATTACACACAATATCTAATATTTCACACAATATCTAATATTACATACAATATAAAATATTACATACAATATCTAATATTACACACAATATCTAATATTTCACACAATATCTAATATTACACACAATATCTAATATCACACTCAATATCTAATATTACATACAATATTGGATATTTCATTAAATATTTAACCTAGCATGGGAACTTGGAAGCTGCAATATTAGTAAGGAATAGCATCAAACTATTTGCTTCTTTTTATTGAAAATCAAAAACAACTGATCTATCAAAGTCTTTGAATTTTACTTTTTAAAATACTGGCACACAAAAGAAGCACTGGAAATCATGCAATAAGGTTGAGTCATCAATGGCATTCTGTAGACTCTGTCATGTTGTATCTTTAGTGTTCTATGAAATTTAGATGGAAATGATTGATGTGGCTTTAATATTTTTTATAAGATTGTAGATGGCTGTATTTTGGTGGATTTAATGTGATTTATTGTTTGATTTTTAATTTATATTCATTTAAACATTATCTTTTTTTATTTAGATTTTTTATAGCAAGTGACAATGCAATTAATTTTACAATAAACAAATTCAAAATATTTTTAAATAAAATAATATAAAACAGTACGCTTTATTTTTGTTCTTGATTAAAATAAATGTTGCAAAGAAATGTCATGAAAGCAAGACATAATTTTACTTTTCTAGCATAGTTGTCTATATTGTCATCACTGTGTGTTTTGTCAGGTCCATTTCAGAATAGAACAAATGTACTTATAATACCTTCCAATCAGAAATATTTCATTTGCCAGGAAGTAAGGAAGCCTTTTTTGATATGCTCACTCCAAAGAAGGGTATGCTGGTTTTTCATTTTCTGTCCATCATGTGGCTATCTGTCCTCGACACATTTCTATCGCCATTTTCTCATTAACTACCAAACATTGTGACACATTTTCAGCTCCTTCTGTGTCCTACTTTCTATTTCTTAAATACTTGTACATGTATCTTTATAAGGTCATACTCATATATGGATAATCACTGTGACCTCATTTTTACTGTCTGGGTCAGGATACTTCTTTTCCTGAAAAGATTTACCTTGACCTCATTTTTACTGTCATGGTCGGGATACATCTTTTCCTGATAAGATATACATATTTGGTATGTGGTTTGCTTTTGAGGAATTTATGTCTCTCAGATATGTCATATGGCCTTGACCTCATTTTCACTGTCATGATCAGGATACATTTTTTCGTAAAGATATACATTTATAGTTTGCGGTTTTGTCTTTACCTAATTTTCATGCTCCAGTAGTGGTACGGTTAGGTATGATCTTCATTAACTTTATAGGATAGTTACACAATGTATTTAGCTTTTTGTTTGGTTGTAAGAAGAATAATGCTGTCTGACATACTTCATTTGGACTTGACCTCATTTTCTGGTTAGCTCACCTGGCCCACAGGGCCAAGTGAGCTTTTCTCATCACTTGGCGTCCGTCGTCCCTGGTCTTTGTCTGTCAATGTCCGTCATCATCTGTTAACTTTTACAAAAATCTTCTTCTCTGAAACTACTTTGCCAAATTTAACCAAACTTGGCCATAATCATCATTAGGGTATCTAGTTTAAAAAATGTGTCTGATGACCCCACCTGCCGACCAAGATGGCCTACATGGCTAAAAATAGAACATAGTGGTAATAGGAGTTATTGCCCTTAAATGACAAATCTAAACATCAACATACAGGAATAATGCTCCAAGTCGGAGAAAGTCAAGTAAAATCTGTTTAAAGTCAGTAAAATGACATATGCTCTGGTGGCAGTAAAGAGATACAAAATGTGATATATAAAATTTTGGACAGTGGTCAGTTTTTAAGACTCTAATGGATAATGGCTGCATCTCAGAATTATAGATTATAGGTTGAAAATATTTTGTGTTTGTATATAAACCCTTTACATGTATATGAACATGTACCTCACAGATTTAATTTTGTCGGAGATATCATTTCCATTTAAAATAATTCAGAAGACATGTACATGTATTTTACAGGTACATCCATTCAGTTAATTAGTCCCCTACCGACGCAGTCAAAGGGAACTTTAGGTTTGTACTCTGTCTGTCTGTCTGTCTGTCAGTCCGGCAAATCAGTTTTCCACACTTTTTTTCTTCGTGCTTGAAGATATTGATTTTATATTTGGTGTATTGTTTTATCATGACAAGTTACAGATCAAGTTCAAATTTTGTTCGGGTCTGACATTTTGTGCAGAGTTATGGTCCTTGAACTTAGAAAATTCACTCAAATAATCAGTTTTTGGCACTTTTTTTTGTCATGCTTGAAGATATTGATTTGATGATTAGTATATAGTTTTATCATGACAAGTTACAGATCAATTCGAATTTTGTTCTGGTATGATGATTTTGTGCAGAGTTATGGTCCTTGGATTTAGAAAATTCACTCAAATAATCAGTTTTCCTCCCTTTTTTTCGTCATGCTTGAAGATATTGATTTGATAATTGGTATATAGTTTTATCATGACAAGTTACAGATCAAGTTCGAATTTTGTTCTGGTATGATTTTGTGCAGAGTTATGGTCCTTGGATTTAGAAAATTCACTCAAATTATCAATTTTCCACATTTTTTCTCGTCATGCTTGAAGATATTGACTTGGTATTTGTTATATGATTTACACCATGACAAGTTATGGATGAAGTCAGCACTTTGTTCCAGTACAATGAATTTTTAACTGGTAGGGGACTATGTATTGCGAGGCAATACTCACAGAATGCTGGTTATATGTGTAGATGCGTAAGAGTCTGGTTACAGTCTGCACCAAAGTCTTTTCCAACTACTAGTTCGAAACCAAAATTCTGACGTTTTCCTTATGTGTCTAAACAAACTTTTGCAAATACTTACTAGTCGGAATAAGATTTTACTAGTCTGGGGCATGGGACGGTGCAGATATATAAATATAATTGTCTAAGCTTGTATTAAAACTATAATTTATCTCTGAGGCTTTATGAGTATTCTTGGTGAATCCAGAGATCACACAATAGATGGCTAATGCAATTTATGTCGTGTAGCGTGTCCATTTAATTAGGGTTTGCTGGTGACTATGACAAGATTGTTATTTGGTAGCTTATCTATGTAAAATCCATATTAAATATTAACAACTAATGCAATATTTAGATCTTATGTTTAATTCAATTATTTAATAACTTCCAATTAGTGTAACGATATGTACATATATTCATATAATTTCATTCACATTTGTAAATAAAAGAAAGATCTAATCCTTTCTACCTCTAGTTTCAACACTAACTAATGTAACTCCTGACTACTGAAAAACTGTGAACTAAACTAAATTATCTCTCACACCCATACACTCTCTTATAAACTCTGTGGTAACTTAACACTAAATATTATTTTTCCGAAAACAAACTCTAATGAAATTACTACAATTCCTCCCACCTAGCACATGAAAAATGTTACTAATTAAATGTTACATCAATAAAAGTAACTACACTACGGCTTTAAAGATGTCCATCAAATGATTCCCCATTAACAAAAATATATAAAGATATAACACTACAATATGCAACTGAAGTCTATGGAACGCCATAGCTGCCTTATATGTACTTATTTCTATATATGCACATACTTGTCTTTTTATGCACATACTTTTTCTATATATGCACATACTTTTTCTATATATGCACATAGTTTTTCTATATATGCACATACATTGTCTATATATGCACATAGTTTTTCTATATATGCACATACTTGTCTATATATGCACATACTTTATCTATATATGCACATACTTGTCTATATATGCACATACTTGTCTATATATGCACATACTTTTTCTAAATATGCACATACTTTGTCTATATATGCACATACTTTATCTTTATACTTTGTCTATATATGCACATACTTTGTCTGTATTTGTACATACTTTGTCTATATATGCACATACTTTTTCTTTATACTTTTTCTATATATGCACATACTTTTCCTTTATACTTTTTCTATTTATGCACATACTTTTTAGCTCACCTGGCCCAAAAAAGTCGTAGTCGTCCGTCGTCGTTAACTTTTACAAAAATCTTCTCCTCTGATACCACTGGGCCAAATTTAACCAAACTTGGCCACAATCATCATTAGGGTATATATTTTAAAAAAATGTGTCCGATGACCCCGCCAACCAACCAAGATGGCCGCCATGGCTAAAAATAGAACATAGGGGTAAAATGTAGATTTTGGCTTATATCTCTGAAACCAAAGCATTTAGAGTAAATCTGACATATGGTAAAACTGATTATCAGGTCAAGATCTATCTGCCGTGAAATTTTCAGACAAATCTGACAACCTGTTGTTGGGTTGCTGCCCCTGAATTCGTAATTTTAAGGAAATTTTGCAGTTTTTGGTTATTATCTTGAATATTATAATAGATAGAGATAAACTGTAAACAGCAATAATGTTCAGCAAAGTAAGATCTACAAATAAGTCATCATGACCAAAATTGTCAGTCGACCCCTTTAGGAGTTATTGCCCTTTATAGTCAATTTTTAACAATTTTTCGTAAATTTTTGTAATCTTCTACAAAAATCTTCTTCTCTGAAACTACTCTGACAAATTTAACCATACTTGGCCATAATCATTATTAGGGTATGTAGTTTAAAAAATTTGTCGGATGACCCCTCCTTCCAACCATCATGGCCGACTTGGTTAAAAAATAGAACATGGGGGTAAAATGCAGTTTTCGGTTTATATCTCTGAAACTAAAGCATTTAGAGCAAATCTGACAGGCAGCAAAAATGTTCATCAGATTTAGATTTATCTGCCCTGAAATTTTCAGACGAATCCTACAACCCGTTGTTGGGTTGCGGCCCCTGAGTTAGTAATTTTACAGAAATTTTGCAGTTTTTTATTATTATCTTAGATATCATTTTAATATCTAATATCTAATACCATTAATTATGATTTTAACCTTATTTTACATGAATTCCAAAGCATCAGTAAATACAGGTGAGCGACACAGGCTCTTGAGAGCCTCTAGTTCTTTATACTTTTTCTATATATGCACATACTTTTTCTTTATACTTTTTCTATATATGCACATACTTTTTCTATATATGCACATACTTTTTTTTAAATGATCATACCCCCCCCCCATATATGGTATAGATCGCAACTTTGACCTTACATTGGGCCAAATACTTTCAAACTTTAAAAGAATTTTTCGTAATTTTTTGTAATCTTATTCAAAAATCTTCTCCTCTGAAACTACTGGGAAAAATACCTTCAAATTTTAACCAAATGTTCCTTAGGGTATCGTGTTGATAAATTTTATCCGAAGTTAAGACGACATGTAACAACAAACATGGCCACCGTTGCCAAAAATAGAACATAGGGGTCAAATGCAGTTTTTGGGTTGTATTTCTGAAACTACATGTAAAGCATTTTTTGTAAATTTTGCTTATTCCTTGAAAACTATAGTACCGGTAGATACCGGTAGCAGTAACTGTAAACTTTAAAATAGATAAGCAATGAAACTACAAATGATGAACTTAAATGATGATTATTTTTTCCTCCGTTTTTAACTCACCTGGCCTAAAAGGCCATGTGAGC